CAAGTGTTTTAAATTCATCAATAAAGTCACCCAGGTGTTGTACATGTGTCTTATTCATCAAAAAAGTCACCCAGGTGTTTGTACATGTGTCTTATTCATCAATAAAGTCACCCAGGTGTTGTACATGTGTCTTATTCATCAATAAAGTCACCCAGGTGTTGTACATGTGTCTTATTCATCAATAAAGTCACCCAGGGTTTTTACATGTTGTCTTATTCATCAAAAAAGTCACCCAGGTGTTGTACATGTGTCTTATTCATCAATAAAGTCACCCAGGTGTTGTACATGTGTCTTATTCATCAATAAAGTCACACAGGTGTTGTACAGGTGTCTTATTCATCAATAAAGACACCCAGGTGTTGTACATGTGTCTTATTCATCAATAAAGTCACCCAGGTGTTGTACATGTGTCTTATTCATCAATAAAGTCACCCAGGTGTTGTACATGTCTTATTCATCAATAAAGTCACCCAGGTGTTGTACATGTGTCTTATTCATCAATAAAGTCAACCAGGTGTTGTACATGTGTCTTATTCATCAATAAAGACACCCAGGTGTTGTACATGTGTCTTATTCATCAATAAAGTCACCCAGGTGTTGTACATGTGTCCTTAAATTTCATCAATAAAGTCACCCAGGTGTTTGTACATGCCCTTATTCATCAATAAAGTCACCCAGGTGTTGTACACGTGTCTTATTCATCAATAAAGTCACCCAGGTGTTGTACACGTGTCTTATTCATCAATAAAGTCACCCAGGTGTTGCAGAGTCTGTATATATTACATCTGCATTCTTTTTTTCTTCCTAAATGCACTAGAAGACAAAAAGAATGCAGATGTAATATATACAGACTTTGCAAAAGCCTTCGACAAGTGTGACCATGGCGTAATAGCGCACAAAATGCGTGCTAAAGGAATAACAGGAAAAGTCGGTCGATGGATCTATAATTTCCTCACTAACAGAACACAGAGAGTAGTCGTCAACAGAGTAAAGTCCGAGGCAGCTACGGTGAAAAGCTCTGTTCCACAAGGCACAGTACTAGCTCCCATCTTGTTCCTCATCCTCATATTTCCCACATAGACAAGGATGTCAGCCACAGCACCGTGTCTTCCCTTTGCAGATGACACCCGAATCTGCATGACAGTGTCTTCCATTGCAGACACTGCAAAGCTCCAGGCAGACATTGCAGACACTGCAAGACTCCAGGGAGACATTGCAGACACTGCAAGGCTCAGGCAGACATTGCAGACACTGCAAGGCTCCAGGCGGACATCAACCAAATCTTTCAGTGGGCTGCAGAAAACAATATGAAGTTCAACGATGAGAAATTTCAATTACTCAGATATGGTAAACATGAGGAAATTAAATCTTCATCAGAGTACAAAACAAATTCTGGCCACAAAATAAGCGAAACACCAACGTCAAAGGCCTGGGAGTGATCATGTCGGAGGATCTCACCTTCAAAAGGGCCATAACATTGTATCCCAAACGCATCTGCTAGAAAAAATGACAGGATGGATAATGAGAACCTTCAAAACTAGGGAGGCCAAGCCCATGATGACACTCTTCAGGTCACTTGTTCTATCTAGGCTGGAAATATTGCTGCACACTAACAGCAAACCCTTTTAAGGCAGGTGAAATTGCCGACCTAGAAAATGTACAGAGAACTTTCACGGCGGCATAACGGAGATAAAAAACCTCAATTACTTGGAGCGCTTGAGGTTCCTAAACCTGTATTCCCTGGAACGCAGGAGGGAGAGATACATGATTATATACACCTGGAAAATCCTAGAGGACTAGTACCGAACTTGCACACGAAAATCACTCACTACGAAAGCAAAAGACTTTTGGGAGACGATGCACCATCCCCCCAATGAAAAGCAGGGGTGTCACTACACGTTAAGAGACCATACAATAAGTGTCAGGGGGCCCCAGACTGTTCAACTGCCTCCCAGCACACATAAGGGGATTACCAACAGACCCCTGGCAGTCTTCAAGCTGGCACTGGACAAGCACCTAAAGTCAGTTCCTGATCAGCCGGGCTGTGGCTCGTACGTTGGTTTGCGTGCAGCCAGCAGCAACAGCCTGGTTGATCAGGCGCTGATCCACCAGGAGGCCTGGTCACAGACCAGGCCGCGGGGGCGTTGACCCCCGAAACTCTCTCCAGGTAAACTCCAGGTAATTATCCATTCGGCAAGTTGTCCTTTGGTAAAATGTGTCAACCGAGTATCTCTCGGTGATCTGTCCAGCGGATACTTGGACAAGACGGCGGTTGGCAACCCAGCATCCCTGCTGGGTTGCCAACTGCTCTCTCATGTCCACTAAGGTGGCTTGGTGGATGTGAGGTTGTCCTGGCTTGCTGGTTTACTGCCATGAAGGGTAGGGTAGGGCACGGTAAGATGGGACGAGTCGGAGACAGCTTTGGTCCGAGGAAGTAAGACAGGTACAGCCTCTCCTCACTTAGCGACGTACTCGTTTACAGACATGGTCTTCGGAGCAGAACTCCATCGTTGAGTGAGGAGAGGCTGTATGTCAGATTCCTCAGGTCAGAAGGTTTTAATTAAGATATTATGAGGACCTCAATATGAATAAGTCACTCTTAACTTTTCTGGATTATGCTAGGTAATCTACACATATGTTATGTATGATTTGTCACTGTTTTCGAGAAGACAGACCGTTTGTCTTCACGAAGGCACTGGATAGGCACCTAAAGTCAGTACCTGATCAGCCGGGCTTTGGGTTATATATGTCAATTTACATGCGGCCAGCAGTAATAGCCTGATTGGTTAGACCCTAATCCACCACGAGTCCTGGACTGAGCCGCAGGAGTGTTGACCCCCGAAACTGTCTCAGGGTCTGGTGGTCTGGTGGCTAAAGCTCCCGCTTCACACACGGAGGGCCCGGGTTCGATTCCCGGCGGGTGGAAATCCGACACGTTTCCTTACACCTGTTGTCCTGTTCACCTAGCAGCAAATAGGTACCTGGGTGTTAGTCGACTGGTGTGGGTCGCATCCTGGGGGACAAGATTAAGGACCCCAATGGAAATAAGTTAGACAGTCCTCGATGACGCACTGACTTTCTTGGGTTATCCTGGGTGGCTAACCCTCCGGGGTTAAAAATCCGAACGAAATCTTATCTTATCTTATCTTATCTTAAATACTCTTTACTACGTCAAGGAACTGCCCTTAGAAGAGGTTTTCCCTTGATGACCATCTTACATTATTATAACGGGGGAGCGCTAAACCCGTAGGATTATACAGCACCTGTGGGGGGGGGGATGGAAGGTATTCAGACTCAATTCAGGGAACTGGAGCACAGATCAAATTCCCTAGATCAAGAGCCCCTCACCATCAAGGGACCTCCCTTGAGGGGACATATTACCACAAATGTTGACATTATGGTTAAAAATGCTTATAACTATCCTATATAGTCTGGAAGAGCTAAACCCATAGGGATCATAGTGCCTGGGGAATTGGAGGCAAACAGGTTCAATCCAAGGGCAGGACAGATCCAATTCAATGAATCGAGAGCCCATCACCAGCCTCAGGGTATTCCTTGAACACTTGTATAAGGGAGCACTAAGCCCATATGGGTCACACAGTGCCAACAAGAATGAGCTGCATACAGGTTTAATGCAAGGACTGGGAAGGCAGATCCAGTTTCTTGGATCAAGAGTTCCTCAAGTTGAAGGGTTAAATGGCTCACACCAGAATTGCACAATCACCACACGTAATATTTTTATACCCAACTGGCCGTCTCCCACCACAAGACAGGTGGACCATTTATTCAACCAGTGTCTTGTACAAATTAACGTAGTTATAATCAATCTTATTTTTTTAAAGTGGTGGAGGGGTGAGCCAGGGAAAGGCCTCGGTCAGATGACCAAATGCTCCAGCTGTGTGTCGTGCAACAAAGACCCACGACAGGAAACCCTTGACCTGTTGCCTGACTTTGTCTTGCCAGAAGCGTACCTATATTGCCATTCAAACAATTCTGCAAATTGCAACATACTCACCTAGATTACCTCAAATAGTCCTGCATAGTGCAACATCCTCACTCACCTATTATTAGTTCAAACCGTTCTGCAAACTGTAACATCGTCACTCTCCGGGATAAAGGTCCTGTATGAAAGTGGATCAAACAAAATACTTTGTTTTATTTGTCTCAAGGAGTGGTGCTCAATTCCCCTTTAATACAGTAATAGAGCCTCTCAAGGGAGGTTTCTTGATGCTGCTGAGGGGTTGTTGATCTAGGAATATGAATCCCTCAAGGGAGGTTCCTTGATGCTGCTGAGGGGCTGTTGATCTAGGGAATTGAATCTGTGTTCCAGTTCCCCAAATTGAGCCCAAATGCCTTCCATTCATCCCCCCTCCCCCACACAGGCACTGTGTGGGGGTGGGGGGTGGAAGGTTGAGCACACCCCCATAATACAGTATAGTGGTAACTCGGGAACAGCTCAAAAAGCGAAAAATTATATAAGCGAGTGCTTTTATAAGTTTATTTTTGGGGGTCTGAAACATTAATCTAATTTACATTATTCCTTATGGGAACAAATTCGTTCGGTATCGGCACTTGAACAGCCTTCTGGAATGAATTAAGTTCATATCCCGAGGTACCACTGTACAGTGGACCCCCGCTTTACTATCACCTCCCAATGCGACCAATTATGTAAGTGTATTTATGTAAGTGCGTTTGTACATGTATGTTTGGGGGTCTGAAATGGACTAATCTACTTCACAATATTCCTTATGGGAACAAATTCGGTCAGTACTGGCACCTGAACATACTTCTGGAGTGAAAAAATATCGTAAACCGGGGGTCCACTGTATTAGATACTCGTCACCAGCACATCGTGTGTATAAGCTGACTTGATATTCACATTTCCACTACAAGCGCAGCGACTTTCTTTTCCAAAAATTCTATTAACAGGTACTGAATACAAAAATTTTTAACATGTAGTGAATACAAAATTTTTTTAACATGTAATGAATACAAATAAAAATTTGGAATCAATTTTATTCTCAAATACTAAGCATTCCATAACTCAAATAATAAAAAACTCAGCTGTATGCAACACCAGGCATGTAAATTATGCTCTTATCACTGTACAAAATCAGTGACAGAAGCATTGGGGGGCTGAACCTGCAAGGTGTACTTGCAACTGCATGTTGATAGTTGCATACACATTCGGTTACAGACCGTACAGAGAAACTCTCACTTGAGAACGTACATGTACATGACTGGTATATAATACCAACAAAATAGAGAATTAGACATGTACAACATTTAGGTGGCTTTATCAACACAAATTCTAAAGATTGGACAAATATATGAGTGGGAGGGGCTGGGTTTGGTGTCGTGGGTACAGGAGTAAATTCTTGGGTAGCCGAGGGTGGCGGTGGTTTTGAGAAGGACCTACCTTGTATGGACCAGTAGGCTTTCTGCAGTGTTCCTCCAATCTTATATTCTTAAGAGTGTAGAACTATATACCAAAGATAAGGTAATCAGTCCCTCAGTCTTGGAGTTGAAGATCACAGCTTCAGTAGTTTCAACTCCAAGGCTGAGGGACTGATTACCTCGTCTTTTGTAAATAGTTCTACAGTTTTCCCATGATGTCCTTGAATTTGTACCGATGAAGCCACTGGATGGCGAAGCATCTCCAAATAAAGGTACCCAGATGTTGAACATGCATAATTTGCTTACCTGAAAATCTTAACTGCTTTTATTCTTAAGAGGCGGCGAAGTTCCACGTCTTCTAATAACATGTTCGTTTTTCCACTATAATCTACCTTGTCCATAATTACTATTACATTTGCTTTGTCTGTTTTGTAAGGTGAAGTCCAGGATCTTTCCTTAATTCATAGTATAATTTAACACATCTTTGAGGACAATTGTGTTGCAGAGCTCTGTAGAGGTCAGTACAAACAGTTCTGCAAATTGCAACATCTTCACTCACCAGAGGTCTAAGCAAAGTTCAGACCTCTACAACACAACTATCCTCAAAGACTTGTTAAGTTATACCATGAATTAAGGAAAGATCCTGGATTTCACCTTACGAAACAGGCAAAGCAAATGTGATAATAATTATGGACGAGGTAGATTATAGTGGAAAAATGAACGTGTTATTATAAGACGGGGGGAACTTACGTGCCTCTTAACCTCAACAGCTGTCTCCCGCCAAGGCTGGGTGACCCAAAGACTAACAATACAACTTAGTAAAAATTGTACACAAATAGCTAGCACATGAGAGACAAACTTATTAAGTTTTGGTTCAACTTGGACCATCAACTAGTCACTAGTTCATGGTCTAAGTCAGACCAAATATCACAAGTTTGTCTCTTGTGTGCTGGTTATTTGTCTTGTTTCAGTAGTCGTATTGCCGGTTTTTATATTCTTTTTAAGATTGTAATTTTCACATTATTTTCTTAATTCCACAATGTTACTTTTCCTATATTGCAAGATTCTTATTTCAATTATAACAGCATTCTAGACAAATTTAAGTAGCACCGATTATTCTAAAATATCTTCAGGTTTAAGGTTACGAGACACAAAGTTACCCAACACAAAATGTGCTGAATATAAAATCAAAATACCATCTTGTACATAAAGTATGCCCATACATACACTCATTTACCTAATGGGCGTACGCCACCTTACCACAGCACCATCTTAAAACTGCCTTACTCTAGCAACTGTGTAGTTTCAAGAATACGTACAATAGGGCCTAAAAGGACAGGAACCAGAAAATACCAACAATGTGAACCTTAGTGTCTGGAAAATGCACGACAAGTGCATGGATTTTCTCATTCATTACAAAATAAAAAATAAGTTTAAAGTATTTAATTATTCGTTCTTTTTTAAATCAAACCTACAAATATTAAATACATATAGGAGGCAAGACCAAATATTTTTGTAAAACAGACGAGCAGGTGCACATGGCTTAGTCGATAGCGTTCTCGGCTCTCACACTTAGGTTTGGGTATCAATCCTAATACAGGATGTTGGGATTGTTTCTTTACACCTGCTGCCTGTTCACCTAGCAATAAGTAGGTACCTGGGTGTCAGTTACCTTACACCTGCTACCCCTGTTCACCTAGCAATAAGTAGGTACCTGGGTGTCAGTCACCTTACACCTGCTACCCCTGTTCACCTAGCAATAAGTAGGTACCTGGGTGTCAGTCACCTTACACCTGCTGCCCCTGTTCACCTAGCATTAAGTAGGTACATACCTGGGTATTAGACTGTTGTGGGTAGCATCCTAGGGAACAAGATTACCCTAAGCTGCTTGATTGCAACTACGTCTGGAATGGTTATACGACGTACTCATAGAATTTAAAGCACCAAAGTAAAAACTGATACAAGAAAGACAACTTCACTGAATAAAGAATTCATTAAAGTATATTGAATATATTACTCTAAAAATGATTTACCTTAAGTGAATTATTATTAGAAGCACTAAATTATTATTATAAGTGCTAAACTCTCATGGGTCACAAAGCACTGTATATAAGTGAAAAGAACCAGTACTCTGAACACTATTTTTTTTTGCTTTCCACGCAAGAATAATTTACATATCAATTCGTGTGCAACGTGTGGGAATCTTTATTAAGGAAACGCTTTGTTACACAGTGGCTTTGTTTTGACACACAGTGGCAAAACGTTTTGCCACACAGTGGTGAAACGTTTCGCTACACAATAGCGAAATGTTTCGCTACACAGTGGCAAAACATTTCGCTACACAGTGGCAAAATGTTTTGCTACACAGTGGCTTTGTTTCCTTAATAAAGATTCCCATATATTTCATAAATGTCGGTTTTGAAAACCATTTGTCACACATTTCAAGATAATTTTTTACCACAATGGCTGTTTCTCACTCATAGAAAAAAAAATGTCTAAAAATCTGCATAGCCTTCAGGCAGAGCCAAACATAAGAAAGGAGGAACACTGCAGGAGGCCTACTGGCTCATACTAAGCAGGTCCATCTCAAACCCAGACCCATTTTCAGTGGTGCCCAAGGAATAAGCATTGGTAACCCTGTTAACTCACAGACAGTTATGTTAACTCACAGACAGTTACGTTAACTCACAGACAGTTACGTTAACTCACAGACAGTTACGTTAACTCACAGACAGTTACATTAACTCACAGACAGTTACGTTAACTCACAGACAATTACGTTAACTCACAGACAGTTACGATAACTCACACACAGTTACGTTAACTCACAGACAGTTACGTTAACTCACAGACAGTTACATTAACTCACAGACAGTTACACTGACAAGCTCTAGCTCTCCAGGAGCCTCATAAAGCCATAACAGCTTGACAAAGCTCCAGGAGAGCGAATTGTTGCCACCGTAAAATGTCGCATTAGTTGAACTTGTTGACTAATGAAACTTTTAGAGACTCATATCCAGAACCAAACTGTCATCTAAAGCTTCTTCTCTGAGTGCAAGTTATCTGAAGATTAAATAAGCAACTACAACCACTGTTTACAGGCACATCTATACTGCCGTATCTGTGCGCCTCTGGCAAGACAGTCTGAGTGATGATGAAAATGTTTCTTTTTCGGGTCACCGTGCCATGGTCGGAGACGGTCGCAGCGTATTAGAAAAAAATACCGAGTCAATTAATATCTTTCTGTACAATCATCTGCTGCAGTTATTCCATGTGTTCTTATGAGCGAAAGTGAGTTGAACTTGCCTAGCATGGGCCAGTAGGCCTGCTGCAGTGCTCTTTCTGTCTTATATTCTTATGAGTGGGCATGGGTGGGGGAGGGGGGGTAGATCTACCTAGTATGGGCCAGTAGGCCTGCTGCAGTGCCTCTCCTTTATGTTCTAATTTCCTCACTACCCCATGCACATCACCTATTTTAAACAGCCACAGTGACCTATTACAGCTCAAGCTGTAATAGGTCACTGACCAATTCCATGTAATTTTCTAAATTATTTATACAAATTATCACATTATTAAAACCGAGCACTAAACCCATGAGGATCGCAAATTATTACATGCTGACTCACTCAGCAGAGCCAAATTCAGCATTCATTTCATCTCTCCGTTTCTTTTTTTTTTCGTTCCTTAATGGTAATTATTATTTTTTTTTTTTTATTATCACACTGGCCGATTCCCACCAAGGCAGGGTGGCCCGAAAAAGAAAAACTTTCACCATCATTCACTCCATCACTGTCTTGCCAGAAGGGTGCTTTACACTACAGTTTTTAAACTGCAACATTAACACCCCTCCTTCAGAGTGCAGGCACTGTACTTCCCATCTCCAGGACTCAAGTCCGGCCTGCCGGTTTCCCTGAACCCCTTCATAAATGTTACTTTGCTCACACTCCAACAGCACGTCAAGTATTAAAAACCATTGGTCTCCATTCACTCCTATCAAACACGCTCATGGTAATATTTGTCAGAAAAAAAAATTTAAAAATCCAAAAAATCCGAAAACAAAAAATCTGAAAACAAAAAAATCTGAAAACAAAAATCTGAAAACAGCATTTTTCCACTAGATACGAATTACAGATTTTGGACACTTATTTTATTCTACTGAAATTATGTTCTATGTCATATCTTCTCCAGGCCATATAAATTCAGTATACATAATGTATATAATTCACACTGGTACCCACTGGATTTGCCGATATATATCTTAACTATTAATGTTAACCACTGCATAGAACAGTTGTAATATTTCCAGATTAACCAACATTGTTAACAGCTGGTCTGCACACAACCGAGTTCCCGGCAAAAATTTACGGATAACCGAGAGCAAAAATTACAAAAAAATCCATTAACTTAGGAGGATGCTAGTCCCTACTCTTGGAGTCGGCCATCCGAGAGAGGTCATCTATCTTCTGGGTCAGAAGAGCAGTGTTCTGATCAACCCACTTTAAAGTGTCCATGTGCGCAGACAGAACACGTGCTACAGTATTGACTGGATCAGAAGCCTGTGACCCAGCGTTGCTGGTGTTAAGGTGTTCGATAATCTTGCACAAGTCATCGGTCATCTGGCGGAGTTGAGAATCCAGACTCTGAAATAACAATGTCGTAATTTAACAAACAAATAATAATAATAATAGTACGTATCTGGATACCTCTGCAAAGACAGTGATTATGTGTGAATGATGGTGAAAGTGTTTCTTTCTTTTTGGGTCACCCTGCCTTGGTGGGAGATAGCCAATGTGTTAAATATGGCATCCCATAGCTTGGTTGCTAGTGCACTTATGCTATGAACCACAGAATGACAGTTATGATAGATGCCGTCGGTCTTGGCTGTATCTGCCACATAAACCATAGCCTGACAATTATGACAGATGCCACTGGTTGATCAGGCCCTGGTCCACAGCGAGGCCTGGTCAAAGACCAGGTCGCAGGGGCATTGACCCCTGGAACACTCTCCAGGCAGACCACATAAATCAAGCAACACCTCTCATTTCATATCCTTAAGGAACATTTATGTAGGGATTCAGGGAAACCAGTTAGCCTGACTTGAGTCCTGGAGGTGGGAAGTACAGTGTCTGCACTCTGAAGGAGCGGTGGCGATATGCTGCAGTGTTTTAACTGTAGTGTAGGTGCACCTCTGGCAAGACAGTGGAATGAATGATGGTAAACGTGTTTCCTCTTTTTTAGGTTACCCTGCCTTGGTAGGAAACAGCCAGTGTGTTAATAATAAAAATAAATAATGTCAAGTTTATTGCCCTTGTAGTCTGAAGTTAAGCCTTACTCTTGCCCAAAACCCTTTACATAACCATGGTCTTTCTGCAAGCATTCAAGTGTCACCCACACTGGCATAAACAATGTATTGCGGAAATAAACTCTGAATTTGAAATTCATGACGACCTCACCTGGGCGACGTGATGCATGTTCTCTCGCTGACGATCTCCTTGATGCTGAGCTGGAGTGCTAGTGGCTGCAGCCACCTCCAGGGGCTCTATTAGTTGCTCTAATTCTTGTTGCTGACCTTGAATGAAGTCCAGTTCTGCTTGTAGCCTTGTCTGGTCAGTCTGTAAAGCAAGGCAAACATACACTCACTCACTCTTAATATGTATGCAATTTCATAACAAAAAGGCATGATACCATGAATGGAACAATACATAAATAACCCACACATACATAGGAGAGAGGAGCTTATGACGATGTTTCAGTCCAGCCTCGACCATTTACAAGTCACACTAACACACAAAAATAAAGGAGCCAGTATATATATAAGTGTGGGGGCCAGAGATGGGACAAAGAGGGGAAGGAAGTGGATTAATAGTGGTCAAGGTAATGCATGACTTTGTTAAGAGTGTCAGTGTGGTAGAATGACTAACCCTGACTTTGTTAAGTGTCAGTGTGGTAGAATGACTAACCCTGACTTTAAGTGTCAGTGTGGTAGAATGACTAACCCTGACTTTGTTAAGAGTATCAGTGTGGTAGAATGACTAACCTTGACCTTGTTAAGAGTGTCAGTGTGGTAGAATAACTAACCTTGACCTTGTTAAGAGTGTCAGTGTGGTAGAATAACTAACCTTGACTTTGTTAAGAGTATCAGTGTGGTAGAATGACTAACCTTGACCTTGTTAAGAGTGTCAGTGTGGTAGAATAACTAACCTTGACTTTGTTAAGAGTGTCAGTGTGGTAGAATGACTAACCCTGACTTTGTTAAGTGTCAGTGTGGTAGAATGACTAACCCTGACTTTGTTAAGTGTCAGTGTGGTAGAATGACTAACCCTGACTTTGTTAAGTGTCAGTGTGGTAGAATGACTAACCCTGACTTTGTTAAGTGTCAGTGTGGTAGAATGACTAACCCTGACTTTGTTAAGAGTATCAGTGTGGTAGAATGACTAACCTTGACCTTGTTAAGAGTGTCAGTGTGGTAGAATAACTAACCTTGACTTTGTTAAGAGTATCAGTGTGGTAGAATGACTAACCTTGACCTTGTTAAGAGTGTCAGTGTGGTAGAATAACTAACCTTGACTTTGTTAAGAGTGTCAGTGTGGTAGAATGACCTACCTTGACCTTGTTAAGAGTGTCTCTCAGCTGCTGGACCTGGTCATGACCTTGCTGGAGGAGCTGGTCCCAAGCATTGACATGGGCAGCTTGCCTCATCAACCTTTCCTCTTGTTCCCTCAGCTCAGACACCCACTTGTTAACTTTGTCCTCCAAGCCTGCAACGCTCAACGTGGGCACAGCGCCAACCGCTGTCGTAGCAGCAACTGCAGCATTGCTCGTGCTGAAAATAAAACAAATATGTACCTGGTTGCATTAGGGTGATAAAAGTATGCTTTTCTATTATTCCGTCATAAAAACTTACCAGACAATACCTGAAACAATAAGCTAGCTTAAGCTTGCCCAACAAGCTCTGCATTATCATGGGCTTTCTACTTGCATTAGGAAATGCTACAAAATTGTGTAGAAATACTCTATTATGTGGAAATAAATTTTGAATTTGAATTTGATTATCTTATTACATCCAAGTTCATGAAAGGAATTTCTTTCAACAAAACGGCAGTTGCCAATTGGGGTAGAGCTACCCTGAAAATGCAAGGAAATGCATCCACCATCATTCGGCAGCTGCCTTGCAAAGTGCAGAGACACCAGAGTCCAAGTGGCTCTCTCAAATGCAAGTAACAACCAGTAAACTCAAATATTTTCTTAACACGCCGGCTATCTTCCACCGAGGCAGCATGACCCAAAGAATAAAACACTTTCACCATCACTCACTCAAACCCAATATCTAAGTTATAAATATTACACTCAATGGGAAGGCAGTAAATCTTCATAAGTCACACACAACTTTGTGAATGGGGAATAAATACCATATTTCGTGGTGTATAAGACGCGGCTTATAAGAGTTGTTTTAGTTTCATTTCACACCCCAGACTTATAGCTCCCATCACTGACCTTCAGTTTACAGGACACCGGGTGGTTTTTGGATATTGATGGAAAAAATGCGTCTAATAAGCCGTGAAATATGGTAAGTTTATTTAGGTACAGATACACAGAAGTATAATTATCATACCTAGTAACGTGTGTGTAAATTACCTTGCATAACCCAGAAAAAAGCCAGTGACTTATTTCCAACAGGCTTGAGGGGAGCCCCAATTTCTCAGAATACAAGAATTCGCCTGCATCAGGGTATTCTACCCCTCGAAGTGTTCAAGATTCCTGACATAATATATATCACAGTAAAACAAGAAAAAAAGTCGAATAAATTTTGGAATTACCGTAGAACCCTCATATCTGTGGATTTGGTTTCTGTGGTTTCAGTTATCCACTTAAAATAACCCTTAATCTTGCTTAATAATGGCCCTAAAGCACAATAGTAGTGATGGTGGCAGTTCTTTAAAGCCTACGAGAAGCCAAGAAGTGTTTCCCATCAGTAAACAAGTGCTAATTCTCCCGTTATCATGAATACTTTGCCAGTTCAACTCTTTCATAGATATGCATGTATGTTTTCAACTCTTTCATAGATGTGTATGTATGTTTTCAACTCTTTCATAGATGTGTATGTATGTTTTCAACTCTTTCATAGATGTGTATGTATGTTTTTCAACTCTTTCATAGATGTGTATGTATGTTTTCAACTCTTTCATAGATGTGTATGTATGTTTTCAACTCTTTCATAGATGTGTATGTATGTTTTCAACTCTTTCATAGATGTGTATGTATGTTTTCAACTCTTTCATAGATGTGTATGTATGTTTTCAACTCTTTCATAGATATGTATGTATGTTTGCTACTATCCACGGTTTTGGATACAGGAGAACTACGTGTACTGTAATAAATTCTGATCAATAATAGTTACATGAACATATTGCTCACGTAGGCATCTTAAGGCAAGGGAAAAAAAGGGTACTGAACTCTAATAAATGTGGATTCAAAACTCCCCACAGGATTATAAACCTCCTTGGGTTAATACTGCCGAGTCTGTTTCCTGCGCTGAGGTTTGTTCTCGGTTTTACAGGAGATGGCATAGCAAAGGGCTGTCGCAGATGCCAGGCGTGGGGTTTTATATGGCATCTGAGTTGGTGTTACCACTAACCTGGTTACAGTTGAGAGGGTAGCAAGTGCAGGTGTGGTGGCAGGTGTGGATGATGCAGCTGTAGCAGCAATGGCTGATGAACCTGCAAAAATAATCAATATTTTTAAACCAAAACATTGTTTTTTTACACAATTAAAAAAGGATATACAGTGGACCCCCGGTTAACGATATTTTTTCACTCCGGAAGTATGTTCAGGTGCCAGTACTGACCGAATTTGTTCCCATAAGGAATATTGTGAAGTAGATTAGTCCATTTCAGACCCCCAAACATACACGTACAAACGCACTTACATAAATACACTTACATAATTGGTCGCATTCGGAGGTAATCGTTATGCGGGGGTCCACTGTATAATAATTGTTGCAATCACCAGAACTTTAAAAAATTCAGATTTTTCTCTTTTTTAACACATCGGCCGTATCCCACCGAGGCGGGGTGACCCAAAAACAAGAAGAAACACTTTAACCCGAAACGGTCCAAACGTATATATACGTTTTTTCAACATTTGAAAATATGTAAAAAAACTTTGATTTACTTTATCTTTTTTTGTTATATTTGAAAATATGTAAAAAAAACGTAGATCTACTTTTGTAGCGCAACACATGTGAACGTAGATCTACTTGGACCGTTTACGGGTTAACCATCACTCACTCATCACTGTCTAGCCAGAGACATGCCAATACAACAGTTCAAAAACTGCCACCCATCCTTCAGAGTGCAGGCAGTGTACATTCCACCTCCAGGACTCAAGTCCAGCTAACTGGTTCCCCTGAATCCCTTCATAAATGTTACTTCGATCGCACTCCAACAGCGCATCAAATCATAAAAAAAATTACGAGGAAATTACTGAAAACGGGACACCACAAACACAGCTCTGATCTTGTCAATACAAATATGCAAAATTACAAATTAGCGATGAAATAATTCCAAAATTTTTGCCAATACTACTGCCAGTTTCCTTACACCTAGCCAAAAATACCAATCACAATTTGCCAATACCCAACGATACTGATACCCGGCACACATCCCTATTACAAATAATTACTCTGGATGTTGTGGATCCAGAAATAATAAATTAATGATGGTTTTTCTCTCAAATGACATGTGTTTATAGTCCCCAGGGAGCACCGGTCCCTGGCCTGGTCTCTGACCAAGCCGGGGAGCACTGCCCCCCTAACCTGGTCTCTGACCAAGTATGCTAAACTGCAATGTAAACACTACAGGTCAATTTAAACAGATTTAATATTACTTAAAATCAATGACATGTATTTTTTTCCATCGTGTTCAGATTGATTTCCGAAGATTTATGACAAAAACAAATTTTCATTCGGCTTATTTGGCAGAGGACACCCTGGCCGAATAGGCCAAACTCACAGATTCGGCCACTATTACAGAAGCACACAAGACAGCAAGAACAAGTGAGAGAAAATTGTGAAAGCAGAAAAACGTTTTATGGGGAAAACACAAAAACCCGCAAGTGTCACACAGATTCTAGGGAATGAGGAGCAATCAGACTCGATCCAAGTCCTTGAATCAAGAGCCACACATGAGCATCAACTTACCTCCCTCTGAGGGTACACAACTGAATAATGGTGGCAAATGCTTTTTTTTTTCATGTCAATGTGAGAATATATAGTGAAGATACTGCTCTAACAAGAAAAAACATTTCCCTACAGGGAATATTAATGACAATTCAAGCATAAATTTGACCAAACGTGAGTGTAAATTTACCAAGAACTGAGGTAGTGGTTGCTGGAGTAGAAGTCTGGGTAGGGAAGAGAGAGGACAATCCAGTTGATCCTACAGATGCAGCAGCAGTAGTAGTAGCAGCAGCTGGTCCTAGAAGAACAAGAACATCCTTAGTACAGGTCTCCCTCCACATTCACGAGGATTAGGGGATCAAGAACCTCGCGAATGTTGAAAAATCGCGAATGTTTGGTGCACAATTATAAATTATATTGTACTAAAAACAATAATAGCATTTACTTAGCCTAACAATACTGCTTCCTTAACCTACTGAACCATGACAATCATAAAACACATGAAAACATCATAAAATATTGTACTAGTGGCAGCCCTTTGGTAAAGGTGAGAAAATTATAGAATTCAAGAAAGAACTCGTAGCAGAGTACCAAAGTGGAGGAGGAAGAGAGAGGGGAGATTGTGCCTTCTACAGTGACTCAGTGACTCTACGATATGTACGATACTAAAGCAGCACAAGTCGATAAAGGCTATAGTGCCAGCCAGTGATAAAGTGTAGCATTAACCCTTTGACTGTTTCAGGCCCCTTTCTGAAACTCATTCTATGTCGCTCAATTTTTGAAAAAAAACAAAATTATTTTTTCTTATGAAATGATAGAGAATCTTTTCCCGATGGTAATGACACCAAAAGTTAGAAATTTGATCGAAAACTCATGGAATTATGCTCCCACGAAGTTAGTGGTCTCGGCGACATATGCGTATCGGCGATTTCGCCGACTTTGAGCCCTATTTTCAGCCAATTCCATTGTTCCAGTTGACCAAACTCATAGCTATTTCTTTAGAACTCCATTTTATCTATCAGCTGAGTACAAGAAACCTCCCATTTACTAATTTGGACTACCCAATATGGTGGTCAGAAATTGGCAATTTGGCCAATTTCACGCAAACTAAAAAAGATGCCAATTTCAAAATAGGGTCCAGAATAAACAAGGTAGACATTCGTGGCACTAAAATAACATATGCTCTGTTCATTAGTCACATCTCTAGGCTCCTCTTATGTTATTATTGCTTTCTATTTTGATTTTTTATTCATACAAAAAAATACAAAATTTACTGTTATGCAGACTACTGCATTATTGTAAAAATGGTATAAATAATATCAGTGCACTAGTGAAAGAATATTAGACTCCCCAGCTGACGTGTATTGGACGTGTGGTGTGATTTATTTACTCCTGAACATTGGTAAAAATCGAACATTTCCGCTACTTTGAGCTCAGTTTCAAGTTGTTCTCATTGTCAAAGTAATGAAAATCATCTCTATTTCTGTAAAATGTTTTCCATTTTATCACCTAAGACCATGAAAACACGAATACAACGATAAATACTATACGAAAATACACCTCAAAGTCGGCGTTTTATTCCAAAAAAACGATCAGTTTTTTTTTTCTCATTATGCAATGTGTGCTGCAGGATTTTTTTTATGTGGTGCACACTGACCACACAGACCCATTTTCTCACATGTGGGCCTACCAGCTTTCTCCCGCTTGATTTGAAGCCGCTAGAATTATTGAGTAAATATACGTCAGAAACATTGGCTCGTAAGACGTATTTATACGTCGAAAACAGTCAAAGGGTTAACAGTGTAGCAAGTAAGTTAAGCAATTAATCAAAAGAAAAAGGACAGCACGAACCTAACTCCTCCAATGTTGTTGGAGTTATATAGGGCGACTGATAACGCCGCCATCTCTGATGCCTCTGCTGCCGCCTCCACCACCACTATGTACGGCTAATGCTCTCAGTGGCCCTTATACACCCAACAACAACACAGCAACGCTCGTGATATACTTAATGACATATTTTATTCATTCTAGAGTATATGTCATGTTTCTATGTTATTACTATTGTTTATTATGTCATATCAGATGAACTGTGATAGATAAATAAGCTGCAGAGTTGATATTAGTGTCATACTGAAGGATTATCTTGTCCTATCTCTAAACAAACTCTGCCACCACCACAACTCCTAACATATGTAATGATAAATTTTAAATACGACTGGGCGGCTGGGAATTCGCGAATGTTCGAAGCCCACAAAAGTGGAAAACGCAAATGTTGAGGGGGACCTGTATTACTTATCTGCCACGGCTCTGGAGAACACTGCCCCCTGTGACCTGGTCTCAGAACCAGCTCTCTCACACTAGGATATTAGAGGATTAAAATCTATTAGACACATAGGGAAAATAAAAATGTATCCAGCACAGGAAAACCCTATCTGTATGGTTCCTGGGTTTCCAACCCCATACGGTAAGTGAAAATTACCAGCAGCAGAAAAAAAGTGTGGTTTTTCATTAGTGAATGCATCAAAAATGCCTGATAACATGTTTATACCATGACGTGTTCAATACAGCAAGGTCCCAAAAAAGTTAAAGTAAAATAAATACACAGTACATACAATACTTACCTTAAAATATGGTGCCGGTTGCCCTTCCCTCAGGCAACTGTCGTATAAAAATGATGGATAAACGCCAAAAGATTTGAAAATCAATAAAACCGTGGAACACTAAAAAGAGATGCCGTATATGTGGAGCTCTCCTGTACTGAATTTAACCCGTAAACGGTCCAAGCAGATCTACGTTCACATGTGTTGCGCTACAAAAGTAGATCTACGTTTTTTTACATATTTTCAAATATAACAAAAAAACAAGTAGATCAAAGTTTTTTTACACATTTTCAAATGTAAAAAAACAAAAAGAAGATCTACTTTTTTTACATACTTTCAAATGTTGAAAAAACGTATATATACGTTTGGACCGTTTACGGGTTAAATAGATGTTTATACAATTTACCCATTACGTAACAGTTTCCATGACAGAAAGCACTAATAAAGAATAAAAAGGCAGCCCACTGCCCCACGTCATCTTAAAAAAAAAAAAAAAGTCTTCTTACTCCCCCATGCCGCCACGAGTCTTATAAACTCACTGTCCAAAAAACAATTATTTTTACTAAAACTGTCCAATAAAGAAAATTTATCAAAGCAAGCATTTATATAAAAGTTAGAACAAAACATAAATAGTTCACTATAACTTGCAAAAAGCATCATACAGGTCTATCATTATATATTTCACACAAAAACTAAATGACACGAATAATGTGTACTTAAAAATTCAGTAAATATTACAGTATAATCGTCACAAAAAAATAAACATAGTTCCATCCACAGTATTTTTTATTCACGGTATTTATTCAATTCAATTCAAGTTTATTCTGTATAAGGGTTACAATGTGGGGTTTACAGGTTTTGGGTATTGTGTGGTTTACATGTTATAAAATACTAATTACAGAGGGGGCCACTAGGACACCTAGCATGGCTAGGCATTACAGAGGGGGCCACTAGGACACCTAGCATGGCTAGGCATTACAGAGGGGGCCACTAGGACACCTAGCATGGCTAGGCATTTCGGGAAGACTTAGATTAATTCTTAACATTAAATCCTTACAGATTATGGTATTAAGGCTAAGTGACTACATCATAATTTGTGAGTTTAGCAATGTGAATGCTTTTGTTTTGGCACAATATAAGGTGTCTATATTTGAGTATCATAGGCAAACTTATGACTAGTTAGGATTTATTATTTTGAGATTAAGATTAGTATTTCTGGGTTTATAGTCAGTGGGTGAGTGAGTGTAAGTGTGAACCACCAGGTGGTTATCATGTAGTTAGTTGTCGGGGTGGATCAGGGAGATAAGATGTTTTCTAACTGTAGTTTTGAAAGTGATGAATGTTTCTGCAGTTCTAGAGTTATCAGGGAGGGTGTTCCAGATTTTAGGTCCTTTGAAATACATTGAATTTTTGAAAAGGTTTAGTCGAACACGGGGAATGTCATAGAGATGTTTGTGTCTGGTGTTATGCCTGTGGGTTCTGTCACAACTATCAAGAAAGCATTTTAGGTCAAGGTTAATACAGTGGACCCCCACTTAACGATCACCTCCCAATGCGACCAATTATGTAAGTGTATTTATGTTTGTGCATTTGTACATGTATGTTTGGGGGTCTGAAATGGACTAATCTAATTCACAATATTCCTTATGGGAACAAATTCGGTCAGTACTGGCACCTGAACATACTTCTGGAATGAAAAAATATCGTTACCCGGGGGGTACACTGTATTGGGATTTAAGGTCCTGTAGATATAGATTACACAGTAGCAAGTGTGGATGTTCTGAACAGGGAGTAAGTTTAGATCTATGAAGAGTGGGGGGGGGGGTGTTGGCAGGGATGGGATTTAGTGATTATTCTTACTGCGGCTTTTTGTTGGGTTATTATTGGCTTAAGGTGTGTTGCTGCAGTTGATCCCCAAGCACAAATAACATAGGTGAGGTATGGATATATAAGTGAATGGTATAGTGTGAGAAGGGCAGTTTGCGGAACGTAGTATCGTATCTTGGAGAGGATGCCCACCGTTTTGGATACTTTGTTTGTTATGTGTTGGATATGGGTGCTGAAATTTAGGTTGTTGTCGAGGTATAGGCCAGGGAATTTGCCCTCATTATGTCTGGCAATTAGTGTTGTCGATCTTAATGTTAAGTTGCGCAACACCTGCTCTGCTACCAAACATAATATGGTAGGTTTTGCCAGTGTTAAGTGTAAGTTTATTGGCTGTCATCCAAGTCGATATTTTGATCAGCTCCTCGTTAACAATGGTGTTGAGGGTGGCAAGATTAGGGTGAGAGATGACATAAGTCGTGTCGTCAGCAAAGAGAATGGGTTTCAGGTGTTGGGATATGTTTGGAAGATCATTGATGTAAATGAGGAAGAGCAGGGGTCCAAGGACACTTCCCTGGTATTTAATTAGTACAAGCAAGATATCAGGCACATCTTGCTACTTCTACTTACACTTAGGTCACACTACACATACATGTACAAGCATATACACACACCCCTCTGGGTTTTCTTCTATTTTCTTACTAGTTCTTGTTCTCGTTTATTTCCTCTTATCTCCATGGGGAAGTGGAACAGAATTCTTCCTCCGTAAGCCATGCGTGTTGTAAGAGGCAACTAAAATGCCGGGAGCAAGGGGCTAGTAACACCTTCTCTTATATAAATTATTAGATTTAAAAAGAAAAACTTCTGATGTTCTTGTTTAGGTTACTCTGCTCTGGTAGGATATGGTCGGTGCGTTGAAAAAAATTATAGCATTCAGTATAAATTTATTAGTTAATTCAATCTGATAAAAAATGCAAAGCCTTACCTGTTGTGGTTTTAGCCACTGGAAATGCCAGAATGGGTTGAGTCGTTGTGGATGCTGTTGTCTTGGTAGCTTCGTTTGATCCTCCGCCTGGCGTCTTTGCTTGAAAGGTGAATGGAGAAGTGGCGGGTGTCCCGAGTGACAAGCCAGTGGTTACCGCTGGAGTGCCACCAGTAAGAGAAAACCCACTAGAGAAGCTGCTACTAGCAGCTGTTGATGCTGGCGCATTGAAGCTAAAGCTGCTTGCTGATGCTGCTGCCGGTGCTGCTGTCTGGAGCGGGGCGCTGATGGCAGATGCTAGGATACTCCCCGTTCCACTGGGCGCTGCAGTGCTGGCAAAATTAAATCCTCCAGCACTAGTGGTTGTCGCAGGAGCACCAAAGCTCAATCCAGTTGAAAGCGCTGTGGGTTGCGAAGCGGCGGGAGAGAAGTTAAAGCTGGCTCCACCGGCAGGCGCAGCTGTGGCAGTACCAAAGCTGAACCCACTGCTGGTCGTTGCAGCAGCTGTGGTCGTTGTTGTTGTCGGGAAGCTGAAACTACTGGTGCTACCCGTTCCACCACCTGCAATTACAAAAAAGGATAGTGATGGAGTGAATGATGATGGAAACGCTTCCTCTTTTTCCCATCACCCTGTAATAGTAAGAAACGACCAGTGTTAATAATACGAATAAAAAAATTATAGGGAAGCTCTAAGCCCACAGGGATCACATAGCACCTGGGGAAATGCAAGATAACCAGGAATAATCCCAGGAGGCAAGAGATCCAATGCCTCAGATCAAAAGCCTTTCACTAGCAACAAGGCACCCTCCTTGAAGGAACAAGCACCGAACAACACTGCAACCTCCACAATTAGTGCAAAAATATACACACAATCTGTATACATTTCATCCAAAACCAAAATTTTAAAATGTAATGATAATAACGATAATTATTTGTAACCTATATTAATTCTATACCACACAAAAAGAAATAAAAATTTGAATTTAGATTGGTAAGAGCTGGTGGGAAATAGAATTCAATTTGGTTAACCCAAAAGATGGGTAAATTCATGATGAAATACGAGTTTCGAGTTATCCTTGGTTAATTTCTATAATTTACAGGCAAGTTACTTTGCAATGTTAAGTTTTAAGTATAAAACCAAAAAAAAAAAAAACATTTGATGCATGATTAAATCTCTATTTGACGAACTTCAGTTTAACAAGTTGTGTACTTAAACAAATTAAGGCCGAATAACTTCCAGAAAGAATGAACACAGTTTAATAAATAACTGCCCCAGTATGGCCAGGGGCCGCTGGGGAAATTGATTTAGGCTTCAACAGACAACGTTCCCCAGATCCAGAACCGTCTATTGTTAAGATCATGGAATACAGTAAGTCCTCAATTTAAACAGAATGAGAATCTTGTGTATTGTGGACATTTTTTTTTTTAACACAACAGACGTCTCCCACCAAGGCACGGTGGCCCGAAAAATGAAAAACTTTCATCATCATTCACTTCATCCCCGTCTTGCCAGAGGCGCACTTACACTACAGTTATAAAACTGCAACATTAACACCCGTCCTTCAGAGTGCCGGCACTGTGAATAATATGATTATTATATTAGTACATACTGTGTATAATATTGGCAGTTTGGAGGGATATGTTGTGTATCTTTATATGTTTATGCTTCTAGACTGTTGTATTCTGAGCACCTCTGCAAAAACAGTGATAATGTGTGAGTGTGGTGAAAGTGTTGAATGATGATGAAAGTATTTTCTTTTTGGGGATTTTCTTTCTTTTTTGGGTCACCCTGCCTCGGTGGGAGACGGCCGACTTGTTGAAAAAAAAAAAAAAAAGTGTATAATATCATTATTATACACAATTCAGGTCCCCAATGTGTTCATAAACTGACAACTTTCTGTAATGTAAAATAATGAATAATTAAAATTTACCATGGCCCGGTGGCCTGGTGGCCCGGTGGCCCGGTGGCTTGGTGGCTAAAGCTCCCGCTTTACACACGGAGGGGCCGGGTTCGATTCCCGGCGGGTGGAAACATTTCGACACGTTTCCTTACACCTGTTGTCCTGTTCACCTAGCAGCAAATAGGTACCTGGGTGTTAGTCGACTGGTGTGGGTCGCATCCTGGGGGACAAGATTAAGGACCCCAATGGAAATAAGTTAGACAGTCCTCGATGACGCACTGACTTTCTTGGGTTATCCTGGGTGGCTAACCCTCCGGGGTTAAAAATCCGAACAAAATCTTATCTTATCTTACCACTCCATAACCTATGTAGTTTTAAATAGTAACGTAAATATTACTAGGTTAGTCTGCCAAAAATATTCAGGCACGTTAACGGCTTTGTGATTAACGATATTTTATTTGTATATCACACAATGTAAACTTTGCAAAGATATAAAAAACTGAATCTGAATTTGTAGAGAGATGAGCGATATTTAGGTGTTCATGAAGACAGCCCCTTAGTACGTCAAGTACGTCAAGCATTTCGGGCAAACTTAAGCCTATCTTAAGATTAATTAGGCAATACCTGATTTCTTATATGGTCGTACCCAAAGTTTCGGCCATAAATCGTTCCAGAAGGCTGTTCCAGTGTCGTTACCGAACAAATTTGTTCCCATAAGGAATAATGTAAATTAGATTAGTCCATTTCAGACCCCAAAAAATATACTAACAATAATACACTTACATAGTTGTTCGAGCTGGGGGGGACGAAACTCGGGGTACCATTGTATATACATGTATACAGTCTCTTAAGCGATTATAACAATAAATTTAGGAATTACAACAAACAAGAGAGTTAAATTCAACTTACTTCCTCCGCCTCCAAAACTAAAAGCCATTCTGCACGACGAAAATCTGAAACAAAATCGAATTAATTTTATTTTTATTGTGGGGGTGGGGGGGGGGGTAAGTGGTATAAGTAAAGTTTAATCTCAAGTAAAAGTTTAGTTTAAAAGGCGCCATAAACCAAGACTTTATTTTTTTATTTACCGTCGAAAAGTTTGGAAAACGAGTTCGGCTTACCAAAAAATATATTCTAAAATCTGGCCGCATTTTGGCGTATATCACCTTTACCTGTGATGTTTCTACGGTGAATTTTACCAACTACACAACACCACATGACCCTTGTGGGTTTATCACTTAGTTCTGATTATAATAATAATAATGAAGCAACTCCATCACCTGACGAGATGACGTCACAATACGCCCAGGCGCGTTTTCTCGAATATTTCGAAAACAAATTATTTACCCATTTACTACCGATGTGGTAATTAATAATGAACGATTATCACAACAAACATTCAACGATGAATGTTCTACAACCCTAAGCCGTCCTTCTCACATTATTATTATTATCACAATCATAATGCTAAACCCACATGGGTAATGTCCTTTTTATAACCCCCCCATAATTTTTTGCATGGGGGGTTAAAGGGGCAATATTTTATAAAAACGTCGACAACTTTATTATGGGGGATGAAAATTAAAGTATATTACAGCATTTTTCCACCTTCCGAAAAAGACGATTTGGCGTCACTGGAGCGGCAGTGCGCAAGACACTTTTTGCAGTGAGTTACAATCAAAACAGTGACTCGAAATGCAATATATATTTTTTTTTTGCAGTGCTAATACATCACAAAGTATCGAAACAGTGACGAAAAATATTAATTTTTTATTTGCGACGTCAATATATCGCTAACGATTAGTGACGCCAAATACGATTTATCGATTTTTAATTTGCTTCCTGGACGATCTTAATGAAACTTTTTTAAACAATAATTCACATACGACGATTCAAAAAAAAAAATGGAATCGGACGGTAAATAAAATAATAAAAAAAAAAATTTTACGACTTCTCAAGTAAAAAAAAAAAATATTTAAATTAAATGAAAGTTAAGTTAACATTAGGTTTAGTTAAGTAAAGTTTGTTCCAAGGAAGGAGAGCACAGGTCCACTGCCTTGGATCAAGATCCCTCCTCCGCCTGCCTTAGGGTGTCGTGGTGAGGACTCACAAGAGGGGCCAGGAGCTGTAACTTGTGCCACAAATACTGCAAACTTAAAAAATAATAATTATAAACAAATTTAACTTCAACTATAAACATTAAATATATAAATTTATATAAATTTCAGAGAAACCAAATTATTTTAATTTATAAAACAATACGAGAATATTTAAAGTTAAATGAACAAAATGTCTATAAATAAATGTATATAAATGTCTCTTAAGTCTTAAATTCATATAAATTTTCGTTAATTATAAGAGAAATTTGAAAAAAAAAAATTGTGTTTATACCCGACTTGTTGTTGTTGAGGGATATAAAGTGTCACTCCAGGTGAGCCGTATTGATGCTGCCTTCTCGGTCCTCCGCCTCGGAAAATAACGAGAATTTGGAGGATAATATTAAAAATTAAAGGGCTTTTTGACATATAGATAATGTATAGAATGACGACTGAGACTTTACAACAACCAGAAATCCCCCAAAATAAATTTATTTTTGAAATTTGTCCTAATTGGAGTTGGAGACCGGTTCTGCTTAAAAGCCGCACTAGAACCCGCGGAGCGGTAAAATGGAGTCGATGTTGACGCCTCAAATAATGTCTCTTAAGAGATAAAAATATAAATAAATCACCCAGAAAAATTTGGAGGCCTCACCCAAGATGTAAACAATATTATGGATGTTACATAAGTCTTAAAAAGTACATGTATTCCGAATTTAGAGACTGCAACATATTTACTATATCCAAGTTACATACTTAACAATTTTGTAATATTCCAACTAATATATTATCATTAACAAATATTTAAAAAAAACACACGAATTATTTACCTATTAAAATAAAATAAACAAACAAACATAAAAATATTACTGTAAATTACCAAAGACTTATAAGGTTTCCTCAAGTAAGTAATGCGTAAATAACCTCAACACAAACATGGCGCCCGTACATAGAAAAAAATTAAATAATAATAATAATAATAATAATAATAATAATAATAATAAAAATAATAATAATAATAATAATAATAATAATAATAATAACAATAATAATAATAATAATAATAATATAATAATAATAATAATAATAATAATAATAATAATAATAATATTTATTACTACCAGTACCTGACACAACTTATACAGACCATAATAATAATAATAATAATAATAATATAATAATAATAATAATAATAATAATAATAATTATTACTACCAGTACCTGACACAACTTATACAGACCATAATAATAATAATAATAATAATAATAATAATAATAATAATAATATAATAATAATAATATTTATTACTACCAGTACCTGACACAACTTATACAGACCATAATAATAATAATAATAATAAAAATAATAATAATAATAATATATATTATTACTACCTACCTAACAATATCAGACATAATAATAATAAAAATTTAAATTATAATTAATAATACTAATAATAATTATATTTACTACCATATGACATAGACTAATAATAATAAATAATAATAATAATAATAATAATAATAATAATAATAATAATAATAATATTTATTACTACCAGTACCTGACACAACTTTATACAGACCATAATAATAATAATAATAATAATAATAATAATAATAATAATAATAATAATAATAATATTTATTACTACCAGTACCTGACACAACTTATACAGACCATAATAATAATAATAATAATAATAATTAATAATAATAATAATAATAATAATAATAATAATAATAATAATAATATATAATAATAATAATAATAATAATATTTATTACTACCAGTACCTGACACAACTTATACAGACCATAATAATAATAATAATAATAATAATAATAATAATAATAATAATATTTATTTATACCAGTACCTGACACAACTTATACAGACCATAATAATAATAATAAATAATAATAATAATAATAATAATAATAATATTTATTACTACCAGTACCTGACACAACTTATACAGACCATAATAATAATAATAATAATAATAATAATAATAATAATAATAATAATATTTATTACTACCAGTACCTGACACAACTTATACAGACCATAGCTGACACCTATGACATACTACTATATAGAAAGTTCCTTGTTATGTACAGCATTTCCTGCATATTAGGTCAGTTTTGTCCCCAGGATGCCACCCACACCAGTCACCTAACACCCAGGATGCCACCCACACCAGTCACCTAACACCCAGGATGCCACCCACACCAGTCACCTAACACCCAGGATGCCACCCTCACCAGTCACCTAACACCCAGGATGCCACCCACACCAGTTACCTAACACCCAGGATGCCACCCACACCAGTCACCTAACACCCAGGATGCCACCCACACCAGTCACCTAACACCCAGGATGCCACCCACACCAGTCACCTAACACCCAGGATGCCACCCACACCAGTCACCTAACACCCAGGGTGCCACCCACACCAGTCACCTAACACCCAGGATGCCACCCACACCAGTCACCTAACACCCAGGATGCCACCCACACCAGTCACCTAACACCCAGGTACCTATTTTACTGATGGGTGAATATAGACAACCGGTGTAATGAAACACGCCCAATGTTTCTACCCTCGCCGGAAATCGAACCCAGACCCTCGCCGTGTGAAGGGAGAATGGTAGCCACCAGGCCGCGGGCCACTTATGTACAGCTCAGGACATTTATTTGACTGAAAAAGTCGCCAGGAGCGACTTCTTCAGTCCTATGGTCATTAGGTCCCCGAAGTGTACTCAGGTACAGGTACACATAAATACAGTAACATAATTACCATACATAGCAGCATATATGTAGCTTACAGTCGGACAAACTGACTAATTTACATTCTGGTCCTTGTATGTCCATTGTGGTCCTCGTATTTACATTGTGGTCCTTGTATGTACATTGTGGTCCTTGTATTTCCATTGTGGTCCTTGTATTTACATTGTGGTCCTTGTATTTCCATTGTGGTCCTTGTATTTCCATTGTGGTCCTTGTATTTACGTTGTGGTCCTTGTATTTACATTGTGGTCCTTGTATTTCCATTGTGGTCCTTGTATTTACATTGTGGTCCTTGTATTTCCATTGTGGTCCTTGTATTTACATTGTGGTCCTTGTATTTACATTGTGGTCCTTGTATTTACATTGTTGTCCTTGTATTTCCATTGTGGTCCTTGTATTTCCATTGTGGTCATTGTATTTCCATTGTGGTCCTTGTATTTACATTGTTGTCCTTGTATTTCCATTGTGGTCCTTGTATTTACATTGTGGTCCTTGTATTTACATTGTGGTCCGTGTATTTCCATTGTGGTCCTTGTATTTACATTGTGGTCCTTGTATGTACATTGTGGTCCTTGTATTTACATTGTTGTCCTTGTATTTACATTGTTGTCCTTGTATTTCCATTGTGGTCCTTGTATTTACATTGTGGTCCTTGTATTTCTATTGTGGTCCTTGTATTTCTATTGTGGTCCTTGTATTTACATTGTGGTCCTTGTATGTACATTGTGGTCCTTGTATTTACATTGTTGTCCTTGTATTTCCATTGTGGTCCTTGTATTTACATTGTGGTCCTTGTATTTCCATTGTTGTCCTTGTATTTCCATTGTGGTCCTTGTATTTCCATTGTGGTCCTTGTATTTACATTGTGGTCCTTGTATGTACATTGTGGTCCTTGTATTTACATTGTGGTCCTTGTATTTCCATTGTGGTCCTTGTATTTACATTGTGGTCCTTGTATTTACATTGTGGTCCGTGTATTTCCATTGTGGTCCTTGTATTTACATTGTGGTCCTTGTATGTACATTGTGGTCCTTGTATTTACATTGCTGTCCTTGTATTTACATTGTTGTCCTTGTATTTCCATTGTGGTCATTGTATTTACATTGTGGTCCTTGTATTTCTATTGTGGTCCTTGTATTTCCATTGTGGTCCTTGTATTTACATTGTGGTCCTTGTATGTACATTGTGGTCCTTGTATTTACATTGTTGTCCTTGTATTTCCATTGTGGTCCTTGTATTTACATTGTGGTCCTTGTATTTCCATTGTTGTCCTTGTATTTCCATTGTGGTCCTTGTATTTCCATTGTGGTCCTTGTATTTACATTGTGGTCCTTGTATGTACATTGTGGTCCTTGTATTTACATTGTGGTCCTTGTATTTCCATTGTGGTCCTTGTATTTACATTGTGGTCCTTGTATTTACATTGTGGTCTGTGTATTTACATTGTGGTCCTTGTATTTCCATTGTGGTCCTTGTATTTCCATTGTGGTCCTTGTATTTCCATTGTGGTCCTTGTATTTCCATTGTGGTCCTTGTATTTACATTGTGGTCCTTGTATTTACATTGTGGTCCTTGTATTTACATTGTGGTCCGTGTATTTCCATTGTGGTCCTTGTATTTACATTGTGGTCCTTGTATGTACATTGTGGTCCTTGTATTTACATTGTTGTCCTTGTATTTACATTGTTGTCCTTGTATTTCCATTGTGGTCCTTGTATTTACATTGTGGTCCTTGTATTTCTATTGTGGTCCTTGTATTTCCATTGTGGTCCTTGTATTTACATTGTGGTCCTTGTATGTACATTGTGGTCCTTGTATTTACATTGTTGTCCTTGTATTTCCATTGTGGTCCTTGTATTTACATTGTGGTCCTTGTTTTCCATTGTTGTCCTTGTATTTCCATTGTGGTCCTTGTATTTCCATTGTGGTCCTTGTATTTACATTGTGGTCCTTGTATGTACATTGTGGTCCTTGTATTTACATTGTGGTCCTTGCATTTCCATTGTGGTCCTTGTATTTACATTGTGGTCCTTGTATTTACATTGTGGTCTGTGTATTTACATTGTGGTCCTTGTATTTCCATTGTGGTCCTTGTATTTCCATTGTGGTCCTTGTATTTCCATTGTGGTCCTTGTATTTCCATTGTGGTCCTTGTATTTACATTGTGGTCCTTGTATTTACATTGTGGTCCTTGTATTTACATTGTGGTCCGTGTATTTCCATTGTGGTCCTTGTATTTCCATTGTGGTCCTTGTATTTACATTGTGGTCCTTGTATTTCCATTGTGGTCCTTGTATTTCTCATGGGGTCCTTGTATTTCCATTGTGGTCCTTGTATTTACATTGTGGTCCTTGTATTTACATTGTGGTCCTTGTATTTACATTGTTGTCCTTGTATTTCCATTGTGGTCCTTGTATTTACATTGTTGTCCTTGTATTTACATTGTTGTCCTTGTATTTCCATTGTGGTCCTTGTATTTACATTGTGATCCTTGTATTTCCATTGTGGTCCTTGTATTTCCATTGTGGTCCTTGTATTTCCATTGTGGTTCTTGTATTTCCATTGTGGTCCTTGTATTTACATTGTGGTCCTTGTATTTACATTGTGGTCCTTGTATTTACATTCTGGTCCTTGTATTTACATTGTGATCTTTGTATTTCCATTGTGGTCCTTGTATTTACATTGTTGTCCTTGTATTTCCATTGTGGTCCTTGTATTTCTATTGTGGTCCTTGTATTTCCATTGTGGTCCTTGTATTTACATTGTGATCCTTGTATTTCCATTGTGGTCCTTGTATTTACATTGTTGTCCTTGTATTTCCATTGTGGTCCTTGTATTTCCATTGTGGTCCGTGTATTTACATTGTGGTCCTTGTATTTACATTGTTGTCCTTGTATTTCCATTGTGGTCCTTGTATTTCCATTGTGGTCCTTGTATTTCCATTGTTGTCCTTGTATTTCCATTGTTGTCCTTGTATTTCCATTGTGGTCCGTGTATTTACATTGTGGTCCGTGTATTCACATTGTGGTCCTTGTATTTACATTGTGGTCCGTGTATTTACATTCTGGTCCTTGTATTTACATTGTGGTCCTTGTATTTCCATTGTGGTCCTTGTATTTCCATTGTGGTCCTTGTATTTACATTGTGGTCCGTGTATTTCCATTGTGGTCCTTGTATTTCTCATGGGGTCCTTGTATTTCTCATGGGGTCCTTGTATTTCTAATGAGGTCATTGTATTTCTAATGGGGTCCTTGTATGTCCATTGGGGTCTGTACTTCCATTCCATGGGGGGTTCCCTCCTGCCTCTGCAAAATATGGGCTATAATTTCACAATAATCATATCCATCTCTGCCAGCAAATCAATAATTTAATTTTAGGTTTTGTTTTTAATCATTATTATTGTAATTTTATTAATTTCAATCATATTATTTAATATAATGGAGTGGACGGTACGAGGTTGGCGGCCCTAGAGTCCAACATGTCAACACTGGGCCAAATAAAACCCAGAGTATTTTACTTATTACTCATTTTTTAAAAAGAATATATGGCTCTTTCCCTAAAATAATTGAAAATTAATTTTTTTTTTAGTTTTTTGTCATTATAATTGTAATTTAATTGATTTAAATATTAAATAAGGGAATGTACGGTGCCAGGTGTGGCGGCCCTAGAGTCCAACATGTCAACACACCTCACCAGGCGAGATAAAAATCCAAATATTTTCATTATTACTCATTTTTAAAGTAAAATATATCGCTGTTTCTAGAAATCGATCATTTTATTTGTTTATTTTATGTTTTTAAATCATTATAATTATAATTTAATCGATTTAAATATTAAATAAGGGGATGTACGGCGCCAGGTGTGGCGGCCCTAGAGTCCAACATGTCCACACAGGTAAAATCCACAATATTTTCCTTGCAACTCGTTTTTTAAGGTGAATTATCAACTTTTAAGGGAGGGGCCTTGATGCTAGTGAAGGACTCTTGATCCAGGGAGTAGGAGCGACCTTCCTCTTCCTCGGATCAAGCTTAATTACCTCTAATTCAATTATTTTGTTTTAATATACATAATTTGCCACAAATATATTATATAACATTAATATATCTCCTGAAGTTGTATAAATTAATAAAACTGTCATTTATATATGTATAAATTATTATATATTAAGAGAGGTGAGAGCTAGAGCTGTCGCTTCACACACGGAGTGTCCGGGTTCGATTCCCAGCGAGGGTGGAAACATTTCGACGCGTTTCCTTACACCGGTTATCCTTTTCACCTGGTGTTGTGGACTGGTGTGGGTGGCATCCTGGGGGACAAGATTGAGGACCACAATGGAAATAAGACAGACCTCGACGACGCACCGACTTTCTTGGCTTATCCTGGCTGGCTAACCCTCTGGGGTTAAAAATCCTTTGTGGAATGAAGAAAGTTCGAAACTTGGGGCACAACCGGACATTGGAAACAACATACAACAGATTTTTCCTGTAATATATGTGTCAGTTGCAAATTATTTTAGTGTAAAGTTGACGAAGTCATACGTCTGGCAGTGAGTATCTGGGGGGACTGCAGCTCTGCAGCTCCTGTAGACCATCTGCCTCTGTATAGGGTTTACTGTACCCTCGGGCCCTCATGTAGAGCACATGAGGGCCCCTGAGGTTAGAATCAGAGAAGAAACGTCAAACGTGAGGGGCGGGTGACGGTGGGGGTCGGTGCCGAGGCTAGACTTTAAATAATACGATATTACAAAGACCCTAATAGAAATAAGTCACTTTGACTGACGTTTTTTGGGTTATTTTTGTGGGTAATTTACATAATGTACGAAAATTGTACTTTCCTGTACCTGCGAGTAAATAAACTTAAGGCGATGGGAAACGGTTTATGGTAAAAGGACCCCAGTGGAAATAAGTCGCTGTGTCTGACTTTTTTGTGTTATCCCAGGTTGTCTACACATATGTTGCTATGTATGATAATTCATGTAACTGTATTTGTGTATATCTGAATAAACTTACTGACTTAAATCGTGGCCAATGTGGGCAGCGGGTTTATCCACTGTATATGTTCTGTTGTCCCGTTCGATGGTGTTGGTGGATCATCATTACTTCTAATGTTCCATGCTCATTACTATCGTTCTTAGTAATAATAATAATAATAATAATAATAATAATAATAATAATAATAATTATTACTACCAGTACCTGACACAACTTATACAGACCATAATAATAATAATAATAATAATAATAATAATAATAATAATAATAATAATAATAATAATATTTATTACTACCAGTACCTGACACAACTTATACAGACCATAGCTGACACCTATGACATACTACTATATAGAAAGTTCCTTGTTATGTACAGCATTTCCTGCATATTAGGTCAGTTTTGTCCCCAGGATGCCACCCACACCAGTCACCTAACACCCAGGATGCCACCCACACCAGTCACCTAACACCCAGGATGCCACCCACACCAGTCACCTAACACCCAGGATGCCACCCACACCAGTCACCTAACACCCAGGATGCCACCCACACAGTCACCTAACACCCAGGATGCCACCACACCAGTCACCTAACACCCAGGATGCCACCCACACCAGTCACCTAACACCCAGGATGCCACCCACACCAGTCCACTAACACCCAGGATGCCACCCACACTGGTCACCTAACACCCAGGATGCCACCCACACCAGTCACCTAACACCCAGGATGGCACCCACACCAGTCCACTAACAACCAGGATGCCACCCACACCAGTCCACTAACACCCAGGATGCCACCCACACTGGTCACCTAACACCCAGGATGCCACCCACACCAGTCACCTAACACCCAGGATGCCACCCACATCAGTCACCTAACACCCAGGATGCCACCCACACCAGTCCACTAACACCCAGGATGCCACCCACACCAGTCCACTAACACCCAGGATGCCACCCACACCAGTCACCTAACACCCAGGATGCCACCCACACCAGTCCACTAACACCCAGGATGCCACCCACACCAGTCCACTAACACCCAGGATGCCACCCACACCAGTCCACTAACACCCAGGATGCCACCCACACCAGTCCACTAACACCCAGGATGCCACCCACACCAGTCCACTAACACCCAGGTACCTATTTACTGCTAGGTGAACAATGACAGCAGGTGTCTTAAATAAACACGTCCTTATGTTTCCACTCACATAGGGGATCGAACCACGGACGTCAGTGTGTGAGCTGAGTGCACTACCAATCGAAATTGCCCACCAGAATAACCCCAAAAAGTCGGACAGTTTATTAGGTACAGGTACACATATGTACAATTATCACACATATTAACATGCACAAAATAACCATTGAAAAAATGTTAAATTTCCGAGCTCTTTTGTGATTTCTCACATCAGGAAGACATATTCCTTGATGATGTGAGAAATCACGAAAACGCTCAGAAACTCACTATTTTTTTCACAGTGGTTATGTGTATTGTGATATCATCTGTTTACTGTGATCTTTTGGCTTCATAGTAACATATGTAACATATAAGATTTCGTTCGGATTTTTAACCCCGGAGGGTTAGCCACCCAGGATAACCCAAGAAAGTCAGTGCGTCATTGAGGGCTGTTTAACTTATTTCTATTGGGGTCCTCAATCTTGTCCCCCAGGATGCGACCCACACCAGTCGACTAACACCCAGGTACCTATTTGCTGCTAGGTGAACAGGACGCCAGGTGTAAGGAAATGTGTCGAAATGTTTCCACCCGCTGGGAATCGAACCCGGGTCCTCCGTGTGTGAAGCGGGAGCTTTAGCCACCAGGCCTGGTGGCTAGGATAACTCCCCCAAAAAAGTCAAGGCAACTTATTTCCATTGGGGTCAGTGCCCTGTAACTGTTGTGTGCCCAGTCTGTAATGTGAGAATGTAGGCTATAAGGACAATAATGGAAGTAAGTCACTGAATTTTTTGGGGTTATCCTGGACGGTGATATACACTATGTATGATAATTAAACTGTACTTACGTGTACTTGTGCCTAAATGATCTTGCTTGTCGCAAGATGTTATCCATGTTGTTGTCCCGAAGACACATCTGAAGGTTGTTGCAGGTGTGCAGCCAGCAGTAACAGCCTGGTTGATCAGGTCCTGATCCACCACCAGGCCTGGTCATGGATGAGGCCGCAGGGGGCGTTGACTCCCGGAATACCCTCCAGGTATACTCCAGGTACATATGGTATACGTACTCTACAGTCCTGCTTTACAGGGCCCTTTATCCACCGCGATACAATAGAGGTTCGATAAAACAAACTCCTATACAGATGCTCCTCACTTTACAATGGTTCGACTTATGATATTTTGACTTTACAATGGTGCAATAGTGATGCACACTTAGCGACGTACTCGTTTACCGACACCTTGGACTTACGATGGGCTCTCTGACCAGTATTCATACTTAAATAATGTATAGTGTTTATTACAATATACAGTACACTACTGTATAAACATTTAAAAATATACCAGAAATGTTATAAATGGTACAAAGGTGACATTAAAACAATATCAAAGATGGTTGACACAAACTCACTACCATTATAGTATGCTCCTTGCTTAGTGACGAATTTGTTTACCAACTTGGTTTTAGGAAATGAACTCCGTCGTTAAGCAAGGCGAGGCTGTACTGTACGTTACTGTATATTACTGTACATTACATTTCTGTATATTTATTGATAGGATAAACCTATATTCATTAATTTACTTTTCAATACTGGTATTTAGTTACAGTAATTATTTGTTTCTTTACTTATTCAGTAACAGTAGTTATTTCTTTATTTATGGTATCGTATTCATTTTCAACTTACAGTATTTTAAACCTATGATTGGTTTGTCGGAACATAACCCCATCATAAGTCAAGGACCACCAGTACAGCGGACACGTGATAATTTGCGAACTTTGGCTAAAAAATGAAGTACAGTGGACCCCTGGTTAACGATATTTTTTCACTCCAGAAGTATGTTCAGGTGCCAGTACTGACCGAATTTGTTCCCATAAGGAATATTGTGAAGTAGATTAGTCCATTTCAGACCCCCAAACATACACGTACAAACGCACTTACATAAATACACTTACATAATTGGTCGCATTGGGAGATGATCGTTATGCGGGGGTCCACTGTACAGTGGAACCTCAAAAATCGAACTGCTCCCAACACGACCAATTATGTAAATGTATTTTTGTAAGTGCTTTTATAAGTGTATTTTTGAGGGTCTGAAATGGACTAATCTAATTTACATTATTCCTGATGGGAATAAATTCATTCGGTAAAGGCACTCGAACAGCCTTCTGGACCGAAGAAAGTTCGATATTTGATGTTCCACTGTACGTATTATATCAGAAAATGCTTCAGAAAGCTCCGAGTCGTCAAAATATTCAGTAGAAAACATTTTAGCTTATTTTTCTTACTTTTTTAATATTTTGCATATTTTTAAAAAATCACACGAATGGACAGAGGCCCAACGTGTATGTTTAATGGAGTGTGAGGTGAAAACAGCCAGAAAGTGGACCAGATCTGTTATATGGACAGCCGGTCCGGTGGTCCATTTGATAAACTGGACCAACTCCGCTTAGTCAGATGTTTGTGGACCAGATCTGTTATATGGACAGCCGGTCCGGTGGTCCATTTGATAAACTGGACCAACTCCGCTTAGTCAGATGTTTGTGGACCAGATCTGTTATATGGACAGCCGGTCCGGTGGTCCATTTGATAAACTGGACCAACTCCGCTTAGTCAGATGTTTGTGGACCAGATCTGTTATATGGACACCCGGTCCGGTGGTCCATTTGATAAACTGGACCAACTCCACTTAGTCAGATGTTTGTATGGTCCGAGGCTTTGAAGATCTTGCTGACACTCTCATTATTATTATTATTATTATTATTATTATTATTATTATTATTACTATTATTACTATTATAATTTTTTATTTTTATTTATTTATATAATTTATTGTTAAAATTTATTATTATTTATTATAATTTATTATTTATTTTATAATTTATATTATCATTATTATTCCTGGAGAGGCACTAAACCCATACGGGTTATACAGCACCTGTGTAATGGGAGGTAATCAGGTTTGATCCAAGGAAATGGAGCTCCAAGTCCGTGGATTAAGAGCCCTTCAGCTATTTATTTAAAACCATAAAACATCGCTATTTTATTAAGAATAACGCTTTTATTTATGCTCGTTTTTTATTTAAGATTATTTTTTTAAGATCAATTTTTTATTTAAGATCAATTTTTAATTTAAGATCATTTCTTTTTAAGATAATTTTCTTTTAAGATCAATGCTTGTGTGTAAGTTCAAAGCTTTTGTTTCAGGTACAGCTTTTGTTGGGGACCTTCAGTCGTACGGCGCAAGTCAGTTCCTGATCAGCTAGGCTGTGGTGCATAATTTGGACTACGTGTTGCTGGTGCCCACATCCTGGTGAAGGACCGGGAGGCCACCGGGGCCGTGGACCCCCGGAACGACCCCCAAGTAGATTCCAGGTAGGTCTAGTCTCTACATACAGTCAGTTCATCTTATAAAGCTTTTCTGTATACGATCAAACTTATAAAGCTCCTCTATATATAAAGGAGCTTAATAAGAACACTGAATATAGACAACTTATAAATTGAATACAGTGGACCCCCGGCTTACGATATTATTTCATTCCAGAAGTATGTTCAGGTGCCGTTACTGACCGAATTTGTTCCCATAAGGAATATTGTGAATTAATAACAAAAAAAGGCACAATACCGTGACTAGAACGATACACAAAGTTGGACCGAAACGCCGTCGTAAGCTTCTCTCTTTTATGTGCGGGTTATTTGTGTATTGTGAATTAGATTAGTCCATTTCAGACCCCCAAACATACACATACAAACGCACTTACATAAATACACTTACATAATTCGTCGCATTGGGAGCTGATCGTAAAGCGGGGGTCCACTGTATTTTTTATTTTTGTGTAAAATTGGACAGATTTTGTGCACGTTATACAGTGGTACCCTGAGTCTTGTACAGCTCCCAACTCAAACAATTATGTAAGTGTATTTATTATTGTAAGTGCTTTTCTAAGTGTATTTTTGGGGGTCTGAAACAGACTAATTATATTATTCCTTATGAGAAGAAATTTGTTCAGTAACGGCACTGGAACAGCCTTCTGGAACGAATTATGGCCAAAACTCGGGGTACCACTGTATTGTAGTTCTAATAGTTAAATGGGCAGTTTCTCTTCCCCAGTTGATGAAACGGAAGGCATGCTAGTGAAATAGGATAGAATTATGTCAATTTGAGCATCGGAATTGGCTTAAAATTGGATAGAAATTGGCCAGAATTGCCAAGGTGCAAATTGTGCTTGGACTGCCGACTTTGCACCTGCATAGTTAATAGGATTGTCACAGTTTATTCGTTGGGTAGCATTGACAACGGGTTGAGTAGATTGTTTGTGGGTTTGGGCATGAGATGGACCTGCCTAGTATGGGCCAGTAGGCCTGCTGCAGCGTTTCTCTTCTCTTATGGTGTTGTGTAATTCTGTTAAGTTATCCATCAAATTTTGAATTTTGGGTGTCATGGCCTTCTGAAAAAGATTCTGTACCATTACAGAAGATGAGATTATTTATTAATTTCTCTCTGACAAATTGCGACAATGTCAGACCCATTATTTTTTTTTTGGGGGGGGGAGGGGGGCAAGAGTGGATGGTTATACCTTTGATATGCCTGTGATGAGTTGCCAGAGTTTTCCTAATTCTGGAGCTTAGTCCTGGACCAGGCTTGTCTGGTCAACCAGTTGTTGCTGCTGGTGGTCCTGGACCAGGCTTATTAGGTGCTTATCTGGTCAACCAGGTTGTTGCTGGTGGTGGTCCTGGAGCAGGCTTGTCTTCTGCTAGCCTGGTCAACCAGGTTGTTGTTGCTGGTGGTTCTGGACCAGGCTTGTCTGCTGCTAGCCTGGTCAACCAGGTTGTTGTTGCTGGTGGTTCTAGACCAGGCTCATCTGCTGCTAGCCTGGTCAACCAGGTTGTTGTTGCTGGTGGTTCTGGACCAGGCTTGTCTGCTGCTAGCCTGGTCAACCAGGTTGTTGCTGGTGGTGGTCCTGGACCAGTTTTTCCATTATAATGTAACGGGATTATTTGGTGTTCTGGTAGCGGGGTGTAAATGATACGTCTTCGGAGGCTTCTTACTTTATTGTTAATGTTGTGGTGGGTACACAGGCTTGTGTGTTGTGCCCATGGCCCGGGCAGGGCCATCCCACGAGAGAGAGCTAGATGTAGGCCTTGTGTCTTCCTGCTAGGCCGCTGTGTGAGTGAGAGCGAGGCAAGGGCAGGCAGGCTGCCGTGCCCACCGAGAGGCCTAGCTACAGAGGGCAGCACCTTAGTGCCGCGAAATATGAACCAAGCTGGCAGACAGCATGGGCTGTCTGTGCAGACAGTACAGGCTGTCTACAATAATCTACTATTGTCTTTTTGGCTCCATATTCTTAATCAGTAAAAAACAACATATGTGATTTTAGGCCAAATTGAAAATTAAAGAAATTTTGCTGAAATTCTTTTTTGAGGGTAAAAAATATTTTTTCTCCCTAAATTGGAAAAACGACATGATGGAATTATTAGTTTGGTCAATTACCTCCAGTAAATACGAAAAAAAAGGCTGATGAGTGGAAAAAAAAGATTGTTTTAAGGTGATATTCGCTCTGCGTTGGCAGTCTCGAGCCTAACCTGCCATAATACCGAGGTATTCTTGTATACCTGGAGTTTACCTGGAGAGAGTTTCGGGGATCAACGCCCCTGCGGCCCGGTCTGTGACCAGGCCTCCTGGTGGATCAGAGCCTGATCAACCAGGCTGTTACTGCTGGCTGCACGCAAACCAACGTACGAGCCACAGCCCGGCTGATCAGGTACCGACTTTTTTTTGTTTTTCATATTTACTGGAGGTAATTGATCAAACTAATAGTAATTCCATCATGTCACTGTCCAATTTTAAAAGAAAATTTTTTCTCTCAGAATGGAAAACGGTGATGATGATGCTGTTTGTTGGATCAATTTATCCCCATAAACATGGAAAAATCCTGTATATACAGCTTTCATAGATGGTTATGAGAGTTGTATCAGATAAATGTGCCTTAAAAGGCACCTCAGACAGGGAAGAAACAGACAAGAGACAACAGGATTGTACCTTGCTAAAAGTGTCTCTTGTCAGTTATTTTTAATATTCTTAGGTATTTTTCATGATTTCTAGTTATTTTCTGTAATGAATAGTCTCGATGAAAATGCTACCTTCCTCCATTAGGAATTGGCTGGAAATTAACCCTTTGAGGGTTTCGGACGTACTAGTACGGCTTACGACCCAGGGTTTTTGACGTACTAGTACAGCTTACGACCCAGGGTTTTTGACGTACTAGTACGCCTAAATTCTAGCGCCCTCAAATCTAGTGGGAGAAAGCTGGTAGGCCTACATATGAAAGAATGGGTCTATGTGGTCAGTGTGCATGGTATAAAAAAAATCTTGCAGCACACAATGCGTAATGAGAAAAAAAAAACTTTGACCGTTTTTTTGGAATAAAACAGCGACTTTGCACTGTATTTTCGTATGGTATTTATTGTTGTATTCTAGTTTTCTTGGTCTCATTTTATAGAATGGAAGACATATTACAGAAATTGAGATGATTTTGACTGGTTTTACAATGAAAAGTACCTTGAAATTGAGCTCAAAGTAGCAGAAATGTTCGATTTTTACCAAAGTTCAAAAGTAAACAAATCATGCTAAGCGTCCAATACACGTCAACTGGTGAGTCTAATATTCTTTTGCAAGTGCGCCAATATGATTCATACCATTTTTTACACTAATGCAGTAGTCTGCATAACAGTAAATCTTCTATTTTTCGTGAGAATAAAAATTCAAAGTGGAAAGCAAAAGAATATAAGAGGGGCCTTGAGACGTGACTAATGAACAGAGGAAATGTCATTTTAGTGCCAGGAATGTCTTTCTTGTTTGTTCTGGACCCTATTCGGAAATTGGCATCTTTTGAAATTTGTGTGAAATTGGCAAAATTGCTAAATTCTGACCACTGTATTGGATAGTTGAAATTGGTAAATGGGTGGTTCCTTGCACTCATTCAATAGAAAAAATGGAGTTCTAGTGAAATATTCATGTTTTTTGTCGACTAGTACAGTGGAACTGGCCGAAAATGGGGCTCAAAGTGGGCAAAATCGCTGATCCGTAAACATCGCAGAGACCGCTAACTTCGCGAGAGCATAATTCCGTAAGTTTTCCATCAAATTTCATATTTTTGGTGTCATTATGATCGGAAAAAGATTCTCTATCTTTTCATAAGAAAAAATAATTTTTTTTTTTAAATTTGGCCGACCCTGAGAACGAGTCTCGGAGAGGGCCTGTCGACCCTCAAAGGGTTAAGGCCTCGTATGATGCTTAAATGATCTGATTTTACATTTTCGAGTGTATATTCTGAACCAGCATAGAAAATAGTACACCTGGTGCGATTTTAATGAATTTTGAAAATCTGGCCCAAAATGGTGAAAAACGCTGAACTATAGTCCAGGGATTTTTTGGGGCGAAAAAACTTTTTCTCTCAGAATGGAAAACTGTCATGATGATGGTGTTTGTTGGATCAATTTATTCCCACAAATGTGAAAAAGCCCTGCATAAACAGCTTTCATAGATGGTTATGAGGCTTGTATAAGTTAAGTGTGCCGTAAAAGGTGCCTCAGACAGGGAAGAAACAGACGAGAGAAAACAGCCTTGTATCATGCTAGAACTGTCTTTTTTCAGTCATTTTTTGTATTTTTAAGTATTTTAATGATTTTTAGTTATTTTCCATAATGTATGTCTCAATGAATATACATATTAACTTCTTCCATTAGGAACTGCCTGTATATGTAGGTGAGTGGTGCACTGAGGAGTCTGTGGAGACAAAGAACTTTATCCATGGAAGCAAAGAGGGGAATGTATGAGAGTATAGTTATACCAACACTCTTGTATGGGTGTGAAGCATGGGTTGTAAATGTTGCAACAAGGAGAAGGCTGGAGGCAGTGGAGATGTCATGTCTGAGAGCAGTATGTGTGATGTGAATATAATGCAGAGAATTCGTAATTTGGAAATTAGGAGGAGGTGCGGGATTACCAAAACTATTATCCAGAGGGTTGATGAGGTGGTTCGGACATGTAGAGAGGGTGGAACAAAATAGAATGACTTCGAGAGTGTATAAATCTGTAGTGGAGGGAAGGCAGGGTAGAGGTCAGCCTAGGAAAGGTTGGAGGGAGGGGGTAAAGGAGGTTTTGTGTGCGAGGGGCTTGGACTTCCAGCAAGTGTGCATGAGCGTGTTAGGAGCGAATGGAGACAAATGTTTTTTTAGGTCCTGACGTGCTGTTGGAGTGTGAGCAAGGTAACATGAAGGGATTCAGGAAAACCGGCAGGCCAGACTCGAGTTCTGGAGATGGAAAGTACAATGTCTGCACTCTGAAGGAGGGGCGTTAATGTTGCAGTTTTATAACTGTAGTGTAAAGTACCTCTGGCAAGACAATAATAATGGTGATTTTTTTTTTTTTTTTTTCAGGCCATCCCACCTTGGTGGGAAATGGCTGATGTGTTAATAAAAATAAATGTCATGTCAAATAGGTAAAATTGGTCAATTAGCAAGAACTCATTTAAAATTAAGCCCTTAAAAATTTTCTTGTACATTTAAAGATGCATGTTTTTTATTTAATGTAAAATTAATAATTTTGTACCAAAAGAACCTTAGAAAACTTATCTAAAATATATTTAGTTGGATAAGGTTACAATAATTTGATAAACACAATGAAATATAATTTTTTTCATTAGGTTCAGAATGAATTTTTGCTTTCCTTATTTGGCAAGAGGAGCATTGCTATGCAAGCCAAAATTGCAAGTTTTACCTATTCAGCATGACATATACGTAAATTTCTTTTACAGGGAAGCTCTCTAGTGATGATCACATACTACAAGGGGGATGGGAGGTAATGTTGAACTCTATGGAAAGGTAATCCCAATGCCTTGCATCAAGTCGAGAGGCGGGAGCCGGGAGCCAAGACTTGACCCCTACAACCACATCTAGGTAAGTACCAGCATTGGGCTGGACTCTTGAAGGGTTGCTAATGAACTCAATATTTTTTTAGGGAAGGAACTAATGAAACAAGGTCTTCATTGATTGATAAATTTTATACCACATATAGCACTTTACAAATACAGTACAAGGACTTTTAGTGTACAGGGTTAGGTTTATAATGGCCTAAGATACAAAGTTGGAGGTGACAGAGGCAGTAATGACCGAGATTTCACCTCTGAAATGTCAATTCAACTTTTATCTTTTAGTGTATAATCTTTATGAGACAATTTGCAAGCAAATTACGATATTAATGAGGTCTTTGAGCATTGAATAAAATACAAATAATGCCATATCAAAGGCAAGAAGGCCAACTTTCATGTATACTTTTTAACGTTGATGCACCATGGGTAAATGCAACTCAAAATATAAAAACCTTAAACTATATAAATAATATTACTCAGGGGGAAAAAAACATGACTTCTTAAAGCAAATCCTAATACCTAAGATACAAGATAGACTTTATACATTTTCTATAAAAGTAAATAAAGAGGGAAAGTAGCAGAGATAGAATGGATTAGAGCTGGTGAATATAGTACTATTAGTGGTTATTAACAAGTCTAAAATACATTTTTTTTTTACTATAATTTGTGAGTAGCAGCCATGAAGCTGGAGAGTTCCAAGCAGGGATTGCCTATAATGGAGAAAATAGTTGCTTTTAAAAGTCACCTCCCAGCAACACTTGTCGTTCCACCAAGCCCATGAGGGTATCTTGAATACATGTAATACTTTCAGAAGTATGAGTCAATTATGCACATGACATTATCACGTGGACTGATTAATAACCGTAAACTATTGGACTGTTCTACTCCAAGGAGACCCAAAATATGATTGTAGCCTTAGTGAACGTGTCGTTCTTAATGACTGGTGGTTATACACTGACTGCACTGCAGTATTAATGTATAGCCTATAATGAGAAGACCTGTAGGTCAACAGTAGTCATGGCAAGCTTGCTACACCAACTAGCACCCATTCAGTATTTAACAGATTTCTTTCATATATAAAACAGGTTATTTTTTAATTTGATCCATATGAATTTTGTGTGTGTGTGTGTGTGTGTATGTGTGTTGATAATGTGTACACAACATAACCAATCAAAGTTAATAAAATTTCAAGTGCTGTCATGAACTTTTAATCACTTTAGACTACAAAAAGCACTGAAAATTTTATTGCCTTTCACTGTAGTTATATTCCATAGTAAGATATCACTTGTTTCTTATGACTGACTATTATATATATATATATTACTGCAAGTAGGAGATCACATCAGAACTGAGGTACATTAATAACTATGCAATGTGAGAATTTTAGCATTCCCGTCGTCCTTTATCTTGACACCAGCACCATGTTTGGTCAGTATAGAATTCCCAGCTAATTTTATAATTTGCTTTTCCTATTCATTTTAGTATCAATCTAATCTAATAGAGCATTTCTCAGTGGGCCGAGGGCAGGTAAACTATTACCCGAGAAACAAGATAAAATTTCACACGTTAAACCTAACTTTATTACACTCAAAACTAAGTGCTTAACCCACAAGGGTCTAAACTGACTTTAGTAAGTAAAATATTTTGCAAAACAATAAATGTAGCTACATACAGATGCCTTCTTGAATATTTAACTGTCTCTTAATAAGTAAGATTAACTTGCACGATATATGAGGGGAAAAAAAGCCGGGGGGGGGGGGGGGGCTTCCTATACTGAAGTACCATACATAATTTTTCATGGTATTTTATAATGGAGCTCAGACACTGGTGCCACTCCTACTGGCAGTGTTCGTGTCATTCATTTAGTATATAGTTTAGCACAATAGTAACTAGCACATTCTGCAGTAAAGCTACTTTCGTAGGATTAATATCTATTTTGGAGTGCAGAACACACTGCTATAACACAGTAATGATAAAAATTTCCTTGTCTGTCTACATCTGTAAGCATTCGTTTGGCTCAAACTATACAATACTAACCTTTGGAAAGACAGATCTCTGAGAAGACTATAGTGATGCACAGCCCCGGATTAAGATTTTGTAGCCCCTGGACTACAGGTACTGTGAGGCCACCAGTTATATTTTCAGAAAGGGAAAAAAAGTTAAATACTTATTTTTACAAGGCAAACCATAATTAAAATTCAAACATTTGCTCTGCGTAATATCTTTGAAACAAATTTCTCCAAAACATCATTAAGTTGAAAACATCACTGGAGGCCCCAGGGCTGCAGCCCGTAAAACCCAAGCCTTAATCCGACCCTGGTGAAGCATTACACCTTGAGGATTATAACCGCTAAATGGTCAGTATTGGTGCATATATCTGCACGATGAATTACACAATTTTGCAAGTCCCAAACTTGAGATACTAAAATAACCAATTAAGGCAATTATTTCTTCTGACTGGGGGTAATGTAGCGCTGTATGTCCCTACGTGGGCTTACAGCTTTTTTTTAAATATATTCTGACTGGGGAAGGCCAAATCATAACAGATTCTCAATCTCTTGCACATAGTCCGCAAGAGCAAAAGCCGGCCCTTATTATGAAGGTGTTACTCTCTCTGCTCCACATCCACATGAGGTTGTGTATCAAGGTCCAGTGCTATCACATACTTTTCTTATAAATCACAATCAACACTCGCACGTGAACAAAACCGGACTTAGAGCAGCAGATCTGAAAAGGTGAGAATACAAAATTAAAAAAATTTTTTTTTTTAATAAAATGAATCTTTAAAAGCATAACACGAAACTCTTATTTAACGTGTAATTTAAATTTTATTTCCATGTAAATAAACTTTAACTGATATTTAAATTGTTTATTTTTATTTACCCTCTCTTATTAAAAAAAAGTACATAACACTTTTTTGTGTGTTGGCCGTTTCACCCCAAATGGAAGAAAAAAAACTTTCATCATTCAACACTTTGATGGTGAGTGTGTGGAATCACTGTGTTTTGCAGAGGTGCTCAGACGTCACTCCAAACTCATACGTGCAAAATAACTAGTGAAAAAATTCCAAGGAGTCATGATTTCTCACAGTATTGACTCTTTCACTGTTGAGAGCCCTGCTTGCAAACATGCTCTCAGTATCGAAAATTTTAAAAAAATAATAATCTTTTCCCGATGGTAAAAGTACAGAATTTGATGGAAAACTTTTGGAATTGTTCTCTTGCAGATATTTACGCATCAGCGATTTTGCCCACTTTGAACCCTGTTTTCAATTTAATTGTTCCAGTCAACCAATCTCATAGCTATTTCGCTAGAACTCCATTTGTTCTATTGACTGAGTACAAGAAACTACCCAATAAAGTCATCAGAAATTGGTAATATGGCCAGTTTCATAAACAATTCAAGTAAGGCTAATTTCAAAATAGGGGCCAGAATAAACACTGCAGACATTCTTAGCACTAAAATAACATTTTCTCTGTTCAACAGTCACGTCTCCACGCCCCTCTTATATTACTCTTAAATTTTTATTCACACAAAAAATAGAAGATTTACTGTATTGCGGACTACTGCAATATGTAAAAATGGTATAAATAATACTGGCACATTTGTGAAAGCTTATTAGACCCGCCAGTTGACGTGTATCGGATGTGTGATGTGATTTGTTTACTCTTGAACATCAGCAAACATTTCCACTAGTTTGAGCTCAATTTTAAGGTACTTTAGTCCAAAAACCATTCAAAATCATCTCTATTTCTGTAATACATCTTCCATTCTATCAAATGAGACCAAGAAAACGGGAATACGACCATAAATACCATACAAAAATACACCGCAGAGTCTGTGTTTTAAACCAATAACACAGTCATTTTTTTTTATTATTATGCAATGCATGCTGCAGGATTTTTTGTATTCTGTGCACACTGACCACTCAGACCCATGCTCTTATATGTAGGTCTACCAGCTTTCCCCCACTAGATCTGAAGCCGGTAGAATTTTGGTGTAGTACTGCGGCACCAACACTGGCTTGTAAGCTGTAGTACTGCGGCACCAACACTGGCTTGTAAGCTGCAGTACTACGGCACCAACAGTGAAAGGGTTATGGAACAGTAAAAAACACACAAAAGATATATAAGGCTGAGATTTTACCTCACATATAACGCTGAGCATGCAAGTATGTGAGGCGATGTTTCTTCTTTCAACAAACTGGCAGTATCCCACCGAGGGAGGGTGACCAAAAAGAAAAACAAAAGTTTGTCTTTTTAACTTTAGTAATGTATACAGGAGGAGTTACTAGCCCCTTGCTCCTGGCATTTTAGTCACCTCTTATGACATACATGACTTACAGAGGAAGAATTCTGTTTCACTTCCCCATGGAGGTGGAGGTGAGGTGATACCTCAGCCTTAAAAGTCTTCTCTTCTATTATTTTTACTATTCCTTGATAATATGAGAAATCACAAAAGCACTTGGAATTCCACTTTTTTTTTTCACTGGTCATTTTGCATATTGTCATATCACCTGTTTACTGTGATCTTATTGCCACTACTAATATATCCATAATACAAAGTTTGGAATGTTAGTTCATACCTGGGACTGTGCTAGTATTCTCTTGATTCTGCTTCTTGTTCAGATTCTGCTCAAATGCTATGAAGGGCGACGGTGGATTGCTATTAACAGCATCTTCGTTACTGAGTTTGGTTTGGCCTAGGTCTATGATCTGCTCAAAGTTTGAGGCTGCTGAAGTGATGCTAGTGGTGGACGTGAGGGAAGAGTTGAGGGGGTCTAAAGAACCTAGAAGATTGTCCCTGTTGAAAAAATTTTTTTTATTTGTAATAGCATAAAAATGTTACAAATAATATGTACAGACGCCCCTCAACTTACAGTTGGGTTACACTCTGAACCCATCCTAAGTCGACTCTGATTATACAGTGGAACCTCGGTACTAGAACAGCTCCCTACTCGAATAATTCAGTATTCGAATGCTTTGTTCGGTAAAAAAAATCGCTTGATAGTCAACTGTTTGCTCGGCACTCAACCAACCAACCACGACCCACCGGAACTTCGCTGTAAACTATTTCGTGCTTCTTCACATTTTTTTTTTATATTATTTGTATAAATAAGTAACCGTGGGGCCTACGAAGATTAGTGATAAAAGCCAACCAACTTATGGGAACAAGTTTGTTCAGTATTGGCACTCCAACAGCCTTCTGGAACGAATTAAGTTCGTAACTCATGGTATCACTGTAATTATAGACTTAATTTAAAAGGGGTGGAGGTGTAACCCAGTGGAAGGTCTTGGTCAGATGACCAAAAGCTCCAGTTGTGGGTCATCGTTTGGTTAAGACCCACATCAGGAAACACTTGTCCTGTTTCCTGGCAAACGTACTTAACCTATATAAATAATTACTATGTCACTGAATAAGTAAATGAACAAATAATTACTGTAACTAAATACCATTATTGAAAAGTAAGTAAATGAATAAAGTTTATCCTGTCAATAAATGGTTGGATGAGTGAGGTTGTGTTTGGCAGCAAACATGCAGCCTTATGGACCATTGTAAAGTTGAAATATCATAAGTCGAAGCATCGTAAAGCAAAGAGCACCTATACAGTAAACCCTCAATTTAATGAACTTTGGAAATGTGGGACAAAATCTGCTGGGTCATGTGATTCATAAACACCAGACAAGCTTCACTGGTTACAGAACTGTCTGCTGCTCTTATGATCACTACAAAACTGTCTGCTGCTATTATGATCACTACAAAACGATCTATTCTCTATCAACCACAATTGCCATCAAATAGAAGGTTTACTGTAAATTTAAAAGCATTAGAAACAAGATAACATATTTTAGAGAAATACGTATACAGTAGGATCCCACTTATACGGCAGGTTAGGTTCTAAGCTACTGCTGGAAAGCGGACATCGCCAGAAAGCAGAACGCCATTGTTTCCTCTTATAAATGCCAGACAACAAGTTTACACTACTTTATATTAAGTTAATAATAGAACTAGGCATTAAAAAACACAATAAAAAGTAAAATACACACACAGTACATTCATTACTTAACTTAAAATATTTGTAGTCTTAATGTAGGGTGAGAGATGAGTAGTATTTATTTGTAGGAAGTCAGTGTAGGTAGCCGGTAGATAGCTATACGATATTTAATGCAGCTCAGAGCCATATTATTACCATCACATCCCTTTTTCACTGAGTTTAATCGTTTCTAACAACTACCTTTAGATACCATCATAAATAAAGTGAGAAGTAATGAATGCTTCATGCCGAGAATTGTAAACAAAAGCGGAGTGTTAAGGGGAGTGACTGCGCCAAATGCAGATTCATACATGTTATCTCCGATGGTCAAGGAGATGACAAAATATTAATTTATGTATCAAGTATTACAGTTTTTGTTCTGTAAGGTGTATATTGTTGCCTTTTAATAATTTTCGTAATAGAGATGTGGTCTGATTTATTTTTGTGGGCCCTCTATGTGTTATTAGTTGCATTAGTAACATTATTAATAAAAATATAATCAAATTAAGTGCTAAACCAAAGGACCTACAGCAATGTAATAATAATAATAATAATAAGTATTTGTAAGTCCCTGGGATCATAACTATCATAATAATAATTAAGAAGGCTTAAGAGTTAAGATACAATTAAAACTCCCCATTTTCTCAGCAAGAGAATGCTAAAAAAAAGGATGGAGGTAAAGCATCATAAGATGGAATATAACTTATTATATCCATGGGGAAACGCTAAACCCACAGGCTTGCGGGCTGCTGGCAGCAACAATGTAGTTGACCATGTAGCCAACAATAAATACTGTGGTGTGCATATAGGCATGATCACTGACCTCTCAGCTGTGGCAAGTAGGCAGAAAAAATTCCTGGTGGTGTGGCAAGATTTTGAGAAAAAATTTTTTCCTACAGTGCGACGGAGAGCATTTTTCCGAGTCGAATAAGACTAAAAATGAGCGGAATTTGATAGAACTTGCGATTTTATGGTGTGTTTGAGTTGGTGAAAAAATGATCACTTAATAAGGTAACAGTGGAATAAAGGTGCCAACAATATTTACATTTTACAATTATTGATGCTATGATTGTTTTTTTGTTATTAATTGTTTTTTAATATTTAACATTACATACACTAATTTCTTATGATATTAGAGGCATTTCAAGACATTTTAGCAGTTCAAACATTAGGGAAATACTTGCCCTACACTGCTTCACTTGGAATATATGGTATATATTTGGTGTATAATATTGTAACCACGAACGAGTGGTAAACAATAACAACACTGCGACTAGCTGGGGGATTAAGTAAGTAAGTAAGTAAGTAAGTTTATTCAGGTAAACACAAATACAGTTACATAGAATTATCATACATAGCAGCATATGTGTAGGGAACCTGATGATAAGTGAAAATTCACGATGCTCATCATCAGGCGGGCTAAAACAACACAGATTCGATCCCCCGGCTAGTCGCAGTGTTATTACTGATGTTTGCTATATACGTATATGGTATAACTGTCTTATTTTATTTACTACAGTGGACCCCCGCATAACGATGGCATCACATAGCGATTATTTCGCATACCGCTTACTTTAATTGCAAAAATTTTGCCTCACATACCGCTTAAAAACCCGCTTACCGATTTTCGTCCGAGACGCGTCCAATGTGCGGCCTGAGCCACGCTCACATGTTCCGCCGGTGGCATTGTTTACCAGCCAGCCTCCGCGGTAACATCCAAGCATACAATCGGAATATTTCGTATTATTACAGTGTTTTCGGTGCTTTTTCTGGAAAATAAGTGACCATGGGCCCCAAGAAAGCTTCTAGTGCCAACCCTACAGCAATAAGGGTGAGAATTACAATAGAGATGAAGAAAAAGATCATTGATAAGTATGAAAGTGGAGTGCATGTCTCCGAGCTGGCCAGGTTGTATAATAAACCCCAATCAACCATCGCTACTATTGGTGGTACAGCTGCTGCTGCTGCTGCACTGTCAGCTGCTGCTGCTGCTGCACTGTCAGCTGCTGCTGCACTGTCAGCTGCTGCTGCTGCTGTAGCACCGTTGTTGGTGTGGCTTATTGAGAATACCAAGAAACAATTAACCCCAGAGGATTTGCCACCCAGGATAACCCAAAAAAGTCAGTGTCATCGAAGACTGTCTAACTTATTTCCATTGGGGTCCTTAATCTTGTCTCCCAGGATGCAACCCACACAAGTCAACTAACACCCAGGTGAACAGGGAAAAATGCCTGGAACTAGTGCTCATATTGGTGAATTTAAAGCCAGCAAAGGTTGGTTTGAGAGATTTAAGAATCGTAGTGACATACACAGTGTGATAAGGCCTGTTCTGGAAGAAAATGCCAAACAGGACCTACAGTACTCAGGAGGAAAAGGCACTCCCAGGACACAGTGTCTCATCAGTCATTGCTGCATCTTCAATAAAGGTAAGTGTCATTTATTCTTCATTTAGTAGACTAGTACATGCACAATATATACTGTGCATGTACTACTCTACTATTGTGCATGTATCCTTCTCTTTGTGTGTAGGAAAATGTATATTTCATGTGGTAAAATTTTTTTTTTCATACTTTTGGGTGTCTTGCACGGATTAATTTGATTTCCATTATTTCTTATGGGGAAAATTCATTCACATAGCGATTATTTCGCATAACAATTACCCCTCTTGCACGGATTAAAATCGTTAACCGAGGGTCCACTGTATTTGGTTTTCTAAGGTTATATACAAGGAATACTTATAACAGTAATTGTTTCAGAGTGTAATACTTCTCAAAATATTGACATAAGTCATAGTGATTGACTTTATTGGGTTATATATACAGTGGACCCCCACTTTATGATCACCTCCCAATGTGACCAATTATGTAAGTGTATTTATGTAAGTGTGTTTGTACGTGTATGTTTGGGGGTCTGAAATGGACTAATCTACTTCACAATATTCCTTATGGGAACAAATTAGGTCAGTACTGGCACCTGAACATACTTCTGGAGTGAAAAAATATCGTTAACCGGCGGTCCGCTGTACTGTACAATTGTTTTTTATTCAGTTTTTTTTTTTTTTCCATTTTGGTCTTCTAAAGTTATGTAAAATGAATACTTATATTATTATAATTATTTCAGAGTACAGTGGACCCCCGGTTAACGATATTTTTTCACTCCAGAAGTATGTTCAGGTGCCAGTACTGACCTAATTTGTCCCCATAAGGAATATTGTGAAGTAGATTAGTCCATTTCAGACCCCCAAACATACACGTACAAACGCACTTACATAAATACACTTACATAACTGGTCGCATTCGGAGGTGATCGTTATGCGGGGGTCCACTGTATAATACTTATCAAAACATGAATATTACTGAATTTAACTTCTCTGGGTTAAATATACTAAATGTGATTTATGGCTGAATTCCACTGATAGTATCATGAAACTGTAATAAATCTGGAGTGAATAAGTCATCTTTAAGCCACTTGCACACGGGTTAGGACGCGAGGTTATGCACTGGGCTCTTCCCGGTTCAGTCGCACTTACTAAGGGAATTCCTGTTGGTTTCTTTTCCTCTGCTTATTATGTTTAAATTTGACACTGTTTGCTGGTGGAGGTATAACAGCTCCTGGCTCCTTTGTTTACATTTGCTAGTGAGGTGTACTATTATGTCGGGAACACAGTCGTTACTTGTGTAGTTAACCACGATATGTTGTGCAAACACTGCTGGCCGCATTATTATTATAATAAAAAAAAAGTGCTACACCCACAAGGGTCGTGCAGTGCTGACTGCTAGCCATAGATTTTATTCAAATTTATGAACAGATGGAAGATGACCCAAAGAGTGGTCCCGAGGTTAAAAATATTGTCAGGATGCCAATAAAATCATAAGTTTTCATCAGATTCCACTCATTTTAGTCTCGTTTGATTCAGAAAAATGCACTCTGTCGAACTGTAGGAAAAAATAATTTTTTTTTTTTTCAAAATCTTGCCACACAAAATCTTGGACACACTTAAATGCTTAATATTTATACACATTTCATATATTGTTCAAATAAGGGTCTTAAGAATATTCTTATAAATATATACACAGTACAGTATATGGGGGGGGGGGGAGGGGGAGTACTCAAACAACTCATTGGACAATTCAGATCCCCCCCCCCCCCAATGAAGTTTGTCTTCTCCAAAGATAAAGGTCCCCAATTTAGCACCAGATGTGCTGCCTCCCTATATATATAGCCTCTCCTCACTTAGTGACAAACTCCTTTACCGATGCCTCGGACTTACGACGGGCTCTCTGACCAGTATGCACACCTAAATAATGAATATTTGAGTTGATTTCCTCTATTGTGTTTATTACAATACAAATATACCAGAAATGTTATAAATGGTGCAAAAGTAACATTAAAACAATATCAAAGATGGTTGACACAAACTCACTACCATTATAGTATGTTCCTCACTTAGTGACGAATTTGTTTACCGAGGTGGTCTTAGGAGCGCAACTCCGTCATTAAGTGAGGAGAGGATTTTGGTGTACTATTACAGGACCAACACTGGCTTGCAAGCCATAATATTATGGGACCAAAACTGAAAGGATTAAATGTGACAATACTATAATGGAAAAGAATTCTTCCTCCGTAAGCCATGCGTGTCATAAGCAGCAACTACAATGCCGGTATCAAGGGGCTAATAACCCCTTCTCCTGTATAAATTACTAAATTTAAACAGAAAAACTTCCTTTTTCTTTTTTGGCTTGCCCGGCCTCAGCGGGATACAGTCGATGCATTAAAAAAAACAAAATACTATAATGGAATAAGGAAGAAATGAGTTAAAAGAGGGAATTTCTTGTAAATATACAGAGCCTTGATACAAGATGTTGATGTGGAGGAGGAGGTCATATGTGCACACATGTGACAATGTGGAGGAGGTCATATGTGCACACATGTGACAATGTGAAGGAGGAGGTCATATGTGCACACATGTGACAATGTGGAGGAGGTCATATGTGCACACATGTGACAATGTGAAGGAGGTCATATGTGCACACATGTGACAATGTGAAGGAGGAGGTCATATGTGCACACATGTGACAATGTGGAGGAGGTCATATGTGCACACATGTGACAATGTGAAGGAGGTCATATGTGCACACATGTGACAATGTGAAGGAGGAGGTCATATGTGCACACATGTGACAATGTGAAGGAGGAGGTCATATGTGCACACATGTGACAATGTGAAGGAGGAGGTCATATGTGCACATATGTGACAATGTGAAGGAGGTCATATGTGCACACATGTGACAATGTGAAGGAGGAGGTCATATGTGCACACATGTGACAATGTGGAGGAGGTCATATGTGCACACATGTGACAATGTGGAGGAGGAGGTCATATGTGCACACATGTGACAATGTGAAGGAGGAGGTCATATGTGCACACATGTGACAATGTGGAGGAGGAGGTCATATGTGCACACATGTGACAATGTGAAGGAGGAGGTCATATGTGCACACATGTGACAATGTGAAGGAGGAGGTCATATGTGCACACATGTGACAATGTGAAGGAGGAGGTCATATGTGCACACATGTGACAATGTGGAGGAGGAGGTCATATGTGCACACATGTGACAATGTGAAGGAGGAGGTCATATGTGCACACATGTGACAATGTGAAGGAGGAGGTCATATGTGCACACATGTGACAATGTGGAGGTCATATGTGCACACATGTGACAATGTGGAGGAGGAGGTCATATGTGCACACATGTGACAATGTGAAGGAGGAGGTCATATGTGCACACATGTGACAATGTGAAGGAGGAGGTCATATGTGCACACATGTGACAATGTGGAGGAGGAGGTCATATGTGCACACATGTGACAATGTGGAGGAGGAGGTCATATGTGCACACATGTGACAATGTGGGGGAGGAGGTCATATGTGCACACATGTGACAATGTGAAGGAGGAGGTCATATGTGCACACATGTGACAATGTGGAGGAGGAGGTCATATGTGCACACGTGACAACGTTAAAACTTAATACACACTTTTATTGTCGTTGTTAAAACTACGAAGGTCTACACACAGCACAGTGTCGCCCCAATACCAACATGTACACATATCTTTTACTCTATACATACCCTTTATCTACAGTAAACCCTCCATATAATGGACCTCTGGTTTAACAGACAAAAGCCACTAGGTAAATTGTATTTTTAACTCTTTCATCTTCAACATTTAATGTAATATAAATGTAACCATATATAAAACGTTATATTGGTTACTTTAGCACTTTTTCTGCTTTATTTAACATTATTCCAATGTAATCAACATTAAGACAATCCTCCTACGAATCCATTACATTGAGAATGTACCATACAATTTTTTTTTTTGACACCGACCATTTCCCACCGAGGCATTGTGACAAATTACGATTCAAAGATCAAATGAGTGTCAATGAATAATACTGGAAGTGTATAAACTTACCCTTGAGTAGTGTGCGGGGGGGTGTTATCTACACCATTATGATTTACACTATGTACATCGCTAAGGGATCCCAACAAGTCAACCGATTGAGTGGGAGTTGTGTCCATGGGTACCGGGGTATCCCCATTAATATGTGGCTCTTCCACTCGAACTGAAGCCATGCCACTAATAAGATCGTCCACCTGACAGTGTTCTGTGTTAGAGCTCAACACTACGTTAGAGCGCAACACTTGCTGATCAACACAATACTTAGACTCAACTTCTACCGTTTCAAAGGTTTGATTCTGTGAAGTTGACTCCAACTCTTGAACAGACTTAATGGATATGTCATTAGTTGGTGCAGTGTAAGTGTCACTTGAGGGCTGAGATATCACATCACTAGACCGCTGTGAAGACACATCGCTAGAAAGCTGTGATGACACATCACTGGGTGGCTGTGAAGACACATCGCTGGGTGGCTGTGAAGACACATCGCTGGGTGGCTGTGAAGACACATCGCTGGGTGGCTGAGAAGACACATCGCTGGGTGGCTGAGAAGACACATCGCTGGGTGGCTGTGAAGACACATCACTGGGTGGTTGAGTACTAAATTCAGAAGCGGCAGAAGTGACTGGCCGAGACTCGGCCTGGGACTCGGAGGCCGTGACCAGAGAGATCATGGAGTCCGTCATGCTGACACTCATTTCCCCATCACCAAAATTCTTAGCTTCATCGGAGGGAGTTTTTGCCTCAGCCTGTGTTGATAAATATTTTAAAATTAAATTATAATACATCTACAATATAATACATTATAATACATCTTGCTCAGCTCTACCTCAGCAACAGTTGTATTTCTGACTGTTTATAAACAATCAGATTTACCACACTGAATTTTGAACCAGTTCTTCCTAACAGTAAATTTCACATTTACATTTGGTTTATTAGGTATAGTTAAGAGTATTTTCTATCAATAAAAATTAACTAAATATAAGACAACAAGGTTAATAACTTCAACTGTAATACACGTAATAAACGTGTAGAACAGAAAATGGGGATCACCAAGGGTTCACCATTTTATTTTTTCCTTCATTACTGGAACAATACACCAATAACCAGGGTGGGATTAATGGCACATTTAACTTATACAAGCCTCGTAACTGTAAATGAAAGCTGTCTATGCAGGGTTTTCTCACATTTATGGGGATAAACTGAGCCAATAAACACCATCGGCATGACCGTTTTCCATTCTGAGAGAAAAACTCTTTTTGCCTGAGAAAATCCCTGAACTAATTCATTTTTCACCATTTTTGGCCGGATTTTCAAAATTCACTAAAATCGCACTAGGCGTAGTATTTTCTATGCTCATTCAGAATATACACTTGAAAATGTAAAATGAGATCATTTTAGCACCATACAAGGCCTTAATTAACACATAATTTCTGACGGAGGAATCTAATATTTTTGCTGAGACTATTCATTATGGAAAATAAGTAGAAATCATTAAAACATGAGAAATGACTGAAAACAAGACAGTTCTAGCATGATACAACGCTGTTCTCTCTCATCTGTTTCTTCTGTCTGAGGTGCCTTGAAGGCCTTGGTTTTTAGAGGCTGCAGCCCAGAGGCCTCTGCCAGCTGGAGGTGTGGAGAAAAGTCTTTAGTAAAAGGAGGGGGGGGATATCTCTCGGCTCTCAGCCCTCTGCGAGACTTAGCCCTCCCGGAAGGGGCTAGTGGACTCTTCCTTCCTCGCACAACATTAATGAGAAGCACATGTATGTACCACATCTCTCTCTCCTTGCTAGAATTTCTGATCAACTACACAATAAGGGTTAAACAAGAATAATTACTCTTTTCCCCATACAGGAAAATTAAGAGAAAATCTGTTCCCCACTTGATCTACAATTTGGGAACATTATGACTTCTAGTTACAGCTAAATAACAAGAAACCAACACTCTTGTGTTAATTCTGGTTGCACAGACTAGTAATGGATGATTATACAGCTGAGTTCAGCATATTCCTTTGTGTGGATGAGAAATGAGGGTGAAGGAGGGCGGCGGAGCTTAGACTGCTTCAAGGAATGGACGAGATGTGTGTGTGTCACAAAGGCATTCCCGCCTTATTGTTAAAACACAAAGGGACAGTAGTGACCAGTGCATTCTTGACTCTTGTTCATTCTGAGAATTTCAGGAAACCAGGAAAGTTAGACTAGTTCCCTTGTACAAGTCAGGAAATTCAAGGTAGAGTGCAGCCAGTACTGCGAGTGACTGCAATGAACATTCCCAACATTTGTGGCAAACATCAGTGCAACATTCCCCAAGACACTCCAATCTTCAGTCAAGACACCAATATTGGTCTTGTGTCAATAGCAAAAACACAGGACTCCACCTATGAGTCGGGCATGTTTTATTCTCCTTTCATTTTTCCTTAAAACACTGCAGTGTTCAGGTACATGTAAGTAGAACATTGTCCCCTCAGAGACCGTGATAGGAATACCATCTACAAACCCCAGTGAGTACCACTACACATTTCAGATAATAGGGAAATGCTGGATATACGCTCCTTTGGGGCAAATTGTGTGACTAACTCACTCACTAATCAACAGCCTATGTGGACACTGATACAACATCTCAAAGGGATTTCCAGGGAGCAGCTGCTGGAAACTATCCTGCTCAAAGATAAGTAATGTTTGTCTTTGGCTTATCTTCATGCATAAAGTGTACTTATTTCACCAGTTCTCCACATGCGGGCCTCTACCAGCTGGAGGGCCTAAAGAAGCTGGAGGGCCTAGACAAACTGGAGGGCCTAGACCAGCTGGAGGGCCTAAAGAAGCTGGAGGGCCTAGACAAACTGGAGGGCCTAGACCAGCTGGAGGGCCTAAACAAGCTGGAGGGCCTAGACAAACTGGAGGGCCTAGACCAGCTGGAGGGCCTCCAGAGATGTTCTCAACATCTTACAATTTACTGATATTTTGGAGAAATTTGTTACCAAGAATTTACACAATGCAAACGTTTGAATTTTAATTGTGGGGCCTCACAGTACCTGTAGCCCAGGGACCTCACAGTACCTGTAGCCCAGGGACCTCACAGTACCTGTAGCCCAGGGACCTCACAGTACCTGTAGCCCAGGGGCCTCACAGTACCTGTAGCCCAGGGACCTCACAGTACCTGTAGCCCAGGGACCTCACAGTACCTGTAGCCCAGGAACCTCACAGTACCTGTAGCCCAGGGACCTCACAGTACCTGTAGCCCAGGGGCCTCACAGTACCTGTAGCCCAGGGACCTCACAGTACCTGTAGCCCAGGGGCCTCACAGTACCTGTAGCCCAGGAACCTCACAGTACCTGTAGCCCAGGGACCTCACAGTACCTGTAGCCCAGGGACCTCACAGTACCTGTAGCCCAGGGACCTCACAGTACCTGTAGCCCAGGGGCCTCACAGTACCTGTAGCCCAGGGACCTCACAGTACCTGTAGCCTAGGGACCTCACAGTACCTGTAGCCCAGGGGCCTCACAGTACCTGTAGCCCAGGAACCTCACAGTACCTGTAGCCCAGGGACCTCACAGTACCTGTAGCCCAGGGGCCTCACAGTACCTGTAGCCCAGGGACCTCACAGTACCTGTAGCCCAGGGGCCTCACAGTACCTGTAGCCCAGGAACCTCACAGTACCTGTAGCCCAGGGACCTCACAGTACCTGTAGCCCAGGGACCTCACAGTACCTGTAGCCCAGGGACCTCACAGTACCTGTAGCCCAGGGGCCTCACAGTACCTGTAGCCCAGGGACCTCACAGTACCTGTAGCCCAGGGACCTCACAGTACCTGTAGCCCAGGGACCTCACAGTACCTGTAGCCCAGGGACCTCACAGTACCTGTAGCCCAGGGACCTCACAGTACCTGTAGCCCAGGGGCCTCACAGTACCTGTAGCCCAGGGACCTCACAGTACCTGTAGCCCAGGGGCCTCACAGTACCTGTAGCCCAGGGGCCTCACAGTACCTGTAGCCCAGGGACCTCACAGTACCTGTAGCCCAGGGGCCCCACAGTACCTGTAGCCCAGGGACCTCACAGTACCTGTAGCCCAGGGACCTCACAGTACCTGTAGCCCAGGGACCTCACAGTACCTGTAGCCCAGGGGCCTCACAGTACCTGTAGCCCAGGGGCCTCACAGTACCTGTAGCCCAGGGGCCTCACAGTACCTGTAGCCCAGGGACCTCACAGTACCTGTAGCCCAGGGACCTCACAGTACCTGTAGCCCAGGGACCTCACAGTACCTGTAGCCCAGGGACCTCACAGTACCTGTAGCCCAGGGGCCTCACAGTACCTGTAGCCCAGGGACCTCACAGTACCTGTAGCCAGGGACCTCACAGTACTTGTAGCCCAGGGACCTCACAGTACCTGTAGCCCAGGGACCTCACAGTACCTGTAGCCCAGGGGCCTCACAGTACCTGTAGCCCAGGGGCCTCACAGTACCTGTAGCCCAGGGACCTCACAGTACCTGTAGCCCAGGGGCCCCACAGTACCTGTAGCCCAGGGACCTCACAGTACCTGTAGCCCAGGGACCTCACAGTACCTGTAGCCCAGGGACCTCACAGTACCTGTAGCCCAGGGACCTCACAGTACCTGTAGCCCAGGGACCTCACAGTACCTGTAGCCCAGGGACCTCACAGTACCTGTAGCCCAGGGACCTCACAGTACCTGTAGCCCAGGGGCCTCACAGTACCTGTAGCCCAGGGACCTCACAGTACCTGTAGCCCAGGGACCTCACAGTACCTGTAGCCCAGGGGCCTCACAGTACCTGTAGCCCAGGGACCTCACAGTACCTGTAGCCCAGGGGCCTCACAGTACCTGTAGCCCAGGGGTCTCACAGTACTTGTAGCCTAGGGGCCTCACAGTACTTGTAGCCCAGGGGCCTCACAGTACTTGTAGCCCAGGGGCCTCACAGTACTTGTAGCCCAGGGGCCTCACAGTACTTGTAGCCCAGGGGCCTCACAGTACTTGTAGCCCAGGGGCCTCACAGTACTTGTAGCCCAGGGGCCTCACAGTACTTGTAGCCCAGGGGCCTCACAGTACTTGTAGCCCAGGGGCCTCACAGTACTTGTAGCCCAGGGGCCTCACAGTACTTGTAGCCCAGGGGCCTCACAGTACTTGTAGGCCCAGGGGCCTCACAGTACTTGTAGCCTAGGGGCCTCACAGTACTTGTAGCCCAGGGGCCTCACAGTACTTGTAGCCCAGGGGCCTCACAGTACTTGTAGCCCAGGGGCCTCACAGTACTTGTAGCCCAGGGGCCTCACAGTACTTGTAGCCCAGGGGCCTCACAGTACTTGTAGCCCAGGGGCCTCACAGTACTTGTAGCCCAGGGGCCTCACAGTACTTGTAGCCCAGGGGCCTCACAGTACTTGTAGCCCAGGGGCCTCACAGTATTTGTAGCCCAGGGGCCTCACAGTACTTGTAGCCTAGGGGCCTCACAGTACTTGTAGCCCAGGGGCCTCACAGTACTTGTAGCCCAGGGGCCTCACAGTACTTGTAGCCCAGGGGCCTCACAGTACTTGTAGCCCAGGGGCCTCACAGTACTTGTAGCCCAGGGGCCTCACAGTACTTGTAGCCCAGGGGCCTCACAGTACTTGTAGCCCAGGGGTCTACAAAATCTTAATCCGGCTCTGTCAATATCCCACACATAGAAGACTGGAACTTATGATGACATTTTGGTCCAACTCAGACCATTAAGTAGTAACACACTGTATGACCACTTAATGGTCCAAGTCGGACTGTAACGTCATTGGACGTTTCAGTCTCCTGTGTGCGGGTTAATGGTGTATAGAATGATCTACAAGAGGAAGTGTGTGTTAAAATCATCTGAAATTAAAAAGTATACAATAGATTATAAACACTGAAGACAAAACACTAGCAAACCTGTTCTGTTGTGCCTCTGGCAAGACAGTGATAATGTGAATGATGGTGAAAGTGTTTCTTTTTCAGGTCACCCTGCCTTGGTGGGAGATGGCTAGTGAGTTAAAAAAAATTATATTAACACACTGGCCATCTCCCACTGTGTTAGGGTGACCTTAACCTTTTGACTGTCGCGACCGTATATATACGTCTTACGAGGTACTGTGTTTGACGTATATATACACATAAATTCTAGTGGCTTCAAATCAAGCAGGAGAAAGCTGGTAGGCCCACATGTGAAAGAATGGGTCTGTGTGGTCAGTGCGCAACATATAAAAAAAATCCTGCAGCACGCAGTGCATAATGAGAAAAAAAAACTCCGACCGTTTTTTTTAATTAAAATGCCGACTTTGTGATCTATTTTCGTATAGTATTTATGGTTGTATTCTCGTTTTCTTGGTCTCATTTGATAGAATGGAAAACATATTATAGAAATAGAGGTGATTTTGATTGATTTTACTATAAAAAGAACCTTGAAATGGAGCTCAATGTAGGGGAAATGTTTGATTTTTGCCGATGTTCAAAAGTAAACAAATGATGCCATTGTCCAATAAATGTCCAACTAGCCATTCTAATATGCAGTCATGAATGGGTTGATGTTATTTATACAATTATTACAATATTGCAGTAGTCTGCATAACAGTAAATCTATTTTTTGTTTGAATAAAAATTCAAAATAGAAAGCAAGAGTAATATCAGAGGGGCCTGGAGACGTGACTGATGAACAAAGAAAACGTTATTTTAGAGCCAGGAATGTCTGCATTGTTCATTCTGAACCTTATTTTGAAATTGTCATATTTTTTTAATTTTCGTGAAATTGGCCAAATTGCAAATTTCTGATCACGTTATTGGGTAGTTGAAATTGGTAAATGGGCAGTTTCTTGTACTCAATCGATAGAAAAAATGGAGTTCTAAAGAAATAGCTATGATTTTGGTCGACTGGAACAATGGAATTAGCCGAAAATAGGGCTCAAAGTGGGCGAAATCGCCGATTTGTAAATATCGCCGAGGTCGCTAACTTCGCGAGAGCGTAATTCCGTCAGTTTTCCATCAAATTTAGTTTTTTTGGTGTCATTACAATCGGGAAAATATTCTCTATCATTTCATAAGAAAAAAGAATTTTTTTTTTTTTTTGAAATTTTGTGACACCAGGAGACACCTCAGGATTGGGGGTTGCGACAGTCAAGGGGTTAAAGAGAGGAAATACACTCACCATCATTCATTCAATAGCTGTCTTGCCAGATGCAGGTCAACATCACAGTTTAGATGATCCTACATTTTTTAAATGGAGGATACAGGTGATCCTTGACTTACGAGTTACGTTCCAGCGAACCCGTCATAAGTTGAAAATGAATACATATGATAAACAAATAAGCAAATAAATAACTACTGTTACTGAATAAGTAATTAAACAAATAATTACTGTAACTAAATACCAGTACTGAAAAGTAAATGAATACAAGTTAAGGACTTGTCACTTTCATGCTGGGTAATTATCTCAAATTTCATTTCTAATTACTTTTGCACTATCATCAGTGTGCGACCTACATCTTTGGGGCTCTGAAGCTTGAACTTTTATGGGGGGCCCCTTCGCAACCCCTTCTCATACAGTAGATCCAAAATTTTTAAGCAATATGGACTAAAGCAGCTTCTGGGGCCCCTCTGGGATTAGGGGCCTTCAAGCTTAAGGCTCATTAATTTTACAACAGATCTGTTCCTGACCATCATACACTTGAAATATAAGTCGAACTATCCTAAGTCGCAGAGCACCTGCATATAATAGCAATCGTGTGCGCTAATAATTCAAAACTGACCTTAGTTGGAGTGTTAGATCCTCCTTTACCGCGTGTCCGAGCCATTATAGCTGCTACCCGACTCTTACGAGCTTGGCGTTCTTCTTCTTCTCGTCTCAGGCGTTCTTCAGTTTCTAAGCGCTTTTGATGCTCTATACGTTCGGCCTAAAATATTTCGTAGTGTTAATTGAAAGTAAACATTAGGATATTACTACAATTCTCTTGCCCACAGTTTTCACCTGACTGAAGGTGACTGAATCAGTCAGAAGTACAGTGACTCCTCAACTTGCAGACACACTGAGAATCTTCTGTACTGTGTATAATATCATTATTATATGCAATACAGGAGGTCCCCAATATGTTCCTAAGTTGAAGACTTATTGTATTAATACATACTACTTAAAATTGTAATATTGTTCATTTAGCTACCTCTCCTTATTGTACATTTAAAAATTCCTACTTAACCTATGTCTAGGTCTTAAGTGGTCTTTAAACACCAGTATTCGTCTGCCTGAAATACACCTTATGTTAGCGGCTTTCTTTTGTGCCGGACAATATTTTATTACATGTAAATCACATACCTCTATGTTGCAGAAAATATATTTATTATTATTATTATTATTATTATTATTATTATTATTATTATTAAGTTCTTAAATTAATTTTTTTTTTATATTTATAGTGACAAATAGTAATCAACATTGAAGTCAAAAATGGTGAGTGTTAAACCCTTGGGGGGGTCATACAGTTCCTGGGGAATGGGTAGTTAACAAGTTTTAATCCAAGGAAGGAAAGAGCAATTGCAGTTCTATAGATCTAAAGTGGCTCAACAGCATCATCACACAAATAAGCCGCACGTGAGGGAGAGAGGAGTTTACGGCGGTGTTTCGGTCCGACTTGGACCATTTACAAAGTGACACTGACTGTAAATGGTCCCAGTAGGACCAAAACGTTCTTATAAGCTCCTCTCCCCTATGTGCAGATTATGTGTATACCTGGAGGGGGTTTCAGAAGTCAACACCCCTGCAGCCCGATCTGTGACCAGTCACAGTATTGTGCCTTTTCATTCTTCAGCATCACCTCCTTCAAATAAGACAAAGGTAAAAATATAATCGCTTACCTCTTCTCTCTGCTTCTCCTCTTCCTCTCGTCTCCTTGCTTCTTCCTCGCGGTTACGGTCGGCTTCCTCTATGGCTTTCTTCAGTCGTTCTTCTTCTGCTTTCTTTTGTTCTTCTATCAGCCTTAGGAATTCCTCCTCTTCCTTTCTCTCTCGTTCTTCCTCTTCAAGCTGAACCAGGAAGAGAGTCATGTTATGTTAAGGAATAAATAGCCATGAAGAACGACTGAAAATTTTTTAACTTATGTTTAAGGAATAAGGAACCGTGAAGAACGATACTGGCGACTAAAATGCCGGGAGCAAGGGGCTAGTAACCCCTGTCCTGTATATAGTGGTACCTCGGGATATGAAATTAATTTGCTCCAGAAGGCTGTTCAAGTGCTGATACCGAACGAATTTGTTCCCATAAGGAATAATGTAAATTAAATTAATCTGTTTCAGACCCCCAAAAATACACTTACAAAAGCACTTACATAAATAGACTTACATAATTGTTCGAGTTTTGAGGTGTTCGTATCCCGAGGTACCAATATATACAGTGGACCCCCGCATAACGATCACCTCCGAATGCGACCAATTATGTAAGTGTATTTATGTAAGTGCGTTTGTACGTGTATGTTTGGGGGTCTGAAATGGACTAATCTACTTCACAATATTCCTTATGGGAACAAATTCGGTCAGTACTGGCACCTGAACATACTTCTGGAGTGAAAAAATATCGTAAACCGGGGGTCCACTGTATTACTAAATTTAAAAGGAGAAACTTTTGTCTTTCCTTTTGGGATACAGCCAGTTGGCTGAAAGAACAAGAACGATACTTAAGTCATGTAAAGAAATAAGAAGCCATGAAGAATGGCAAAGCCTTTTTCTTAACCTAACTGACTCACACTAATGAGGTGAACCAAAAATGAAAAACATTTTCATTCTATAATTGTTTTTGCCAAAAATTATTTACCAGAAGGGTAAGGGTCACCCGGGGAAGCACTTTCACTATATCTAAAACAATAACATCTTTTTAAAACATTTTCTCTAAATTGGGTACAAAAAGAAATATAATTACCATCGTTCATTCAATACATCTCGCCAAATATTCTCGCCTAGATAGGGTAACCCAAGAGAAAAATGCCTTTGCCATCATTCATGCAATAGCGTCTTGCAGAAACGTGAAAAGTCCAATTTTCCACAAAAACCAAATAACAGAGGCTAAAGAAACCTGATAAATCTTATAGAGCCGGGGGTCCAGTGGTTAACCACTGACCTGAAGTTTCAGGATAAATGCCCCTGGCTTCAACCAAATCTTTTCCAGGTTTTTTAACACAAAATTTTAATGGCTCTCTCACTGTAAATCCCCCGCCATTTTTCAGTACAGCAATGTACTTCCCACCTCCAGGGCTCTAAAATCCCACTCATCCTTCAAGTACAGACCTCTACTTCCCCCTCCAGGACGTAACATCCTCACCACCTTCAAGTACAGACACGTACTTTCCCACCTCCAACTGTAAAACTCACTCATCCTTCAAGTACAGACACGTACTTCCCCCCTCCAGGGCGTAACATCCCCCACTCATCCTTTAGGTTTCAGACACGTACTTCCCCCCCTCCAAGACTGTAACATCTTTACTCATCCTTTAAGTCAAACCTGTACTTCCCCCCCCAGGACTGTAACACCCACTCATCCTTCAGAGTACAGACACTGTACTTCCAAAACCCCCGACTGTAACACCTCACTCATCCTTCGAGTACAGCACGTACTTCCCACCTCCAGCTGAACATCCCACTCATCCCTTTAGATTTCAGACACGTACTTCCAACCCCCAGGGCTGTAACATCCTCACTCATCCTTCAGAGTACGACACTGACTTTTCCCACCCCCAGGGCTGTAACATCCCACCACCTTCAGAGTACAGACACTGTACTTTCCCAACCTCCAGGCTGTAACATCCTCACTCACCTTTAAATACAGACAAAATTACTTTCCCCCCCTCCAGGACGTAACATCCTCACTCACCTTCAGAGTACAGACACTGTACTTCCCACCCCCCCGGACTGTAACATCCTCACTCATCCTTTAAGTACAGACACTGTACTTCCAAACCCCAGGACTTAACAACCTCACTCATCCTTCAGAGTTGACACCTACTTCCCCCTCCAGGGCTGTAACTCCTCACCATCCTTCAGATACAGACACTATTCCCACCCCTCCCGTACTGTAACATCCCCCATCATCCTTTAGGTACAGACACTCTACTTCCCCACCTCCAGGACTTTAAAATCCTCACTCATCCTTTTCAGAGTACAGACACACTTCCCACCTCCAGGGCTGTAACATCCCACTCACCTTCAAATCAGACACTGTACTTTTCCCACCCCAGGGCTGTAAATCCCACTCATCCTTCAGAGTCAGACACACTTCCCCCCCAGGACAACATCCTCACTCATCCTTCAGAGACAGACACCACTTCCCACCTCCCGGACTGTAACATCCCACTCATCCTTTTAGAGTACAGACACTGTACCCCACCCCCAGGGCGTAACACCCACCTCCTTCAAGTACGACACTGTACTTCCCAAAAACCCCCAGGACTGTAACACCCACTCATCCTTCAGATACAGACACTCACTTTCCCCCCTCCAGGACGTAACATCCTCACTCATCCTTTAAATACAACACTTCTTCCAACCTCCAGGACTGTAACATCCCCACTCATCCCTTTAGAAAGCAAATGTACTTTCCCCACCTCCAGGACTGTAACACCTCACTCATCCTCAGAGTACAGACCTATTCCCCCTCCAGTACTGTAACTCCCCACTCTCCTTTAGAGTACAGACACTGTACTTCCCACCCCAGGACTGTAACACCCTCACCCTCCTTCAGAGTACAGACACGTACTTCCCCCCTCCAGGACTGTAACACCTCACTCATCCCCTTTAGAGTACAACACTGTACTTCCAAAACCCCCAGGGCTGTAACATCCTCACTCATCCTTCAGAGTACAACACTCTACTTTCCCCCCTCCAGGGCTGTAACATCCCACTCATCCTTCAGAGTACAGACACTACTTCCCACCTCCATACTTAACATCCTCACTCACCTTCAGAACAGCACTCTACTTCCCACCCCAGGACTAACATCCTCCTCATCCCTTTAGAGACAGACACTGTACTTTTCCCCCCTCCAGGACTGTAACACCTCACTCACCTTTTAAGTCAGACACGTACTTCCCACCCCAGGGCGTAACATCCTCACCACCTTTAATACAGACACTACTTCCCCCCTCCAGGACTACTCCCACTCACCTTCAGAGTACGACACCACTTCCCCCCTCCAGGGCTGTAAAACCTCACTCATCCTTTAAGTACGACACTGACTTCCCACCTCCAGGTGTAAAAATCCCACTCATCCTTCAGAGACAGACATGTACTTCCAACCTCCAACGTAACATCCCACTCATCCTTTAGAGTGCAGACACTCTAAATTCCCACCCCAGGACTGTAACATCCTCACTCATCCTTCAGAGTACAGACACTGTACTTCCCAAACCCCCAGGACTGTAACATCCCCACCACCTTCAGAGACAGACACTGTATTCCAAACCCCCAGGACGTAAAAATCCACTCATCCTTCAGAGTACAGACACTGTACTTCCCACCTCCCGGGCTGTAACATCCTCATCATCCTTCAAGTACGACACTACTTCCCACCCCCAGTACGTAAAACCCACTCATCCCTTTTAAATACAGAACGTACTTCCAACCTCCAGGGCTGTAACATCCTCACCATCCTTCAGAGTACAGACTCTACTTTCCCAACTCCAGGACTGTAACATCCCACTCATCCTTTAATACAACACTCTACTTTCCCCCTCCCCGACTTAACACCCCACTCATCTTTAGATACAGAAAAAAAATTACTTCCCCCTCCAGGACTGTAACATCCTCCTCATCCTCAGAGTACAGACACTCTACTTTTCCCCCTCCAGACTGAACATCCTCCTCATCCTTCAGATAAGACACTCTACTTCCCCCCCCCAGGACGTAACATCCCACTCATCCTTTAAGTACAGACACTCACTTTCCCCCCTCCAGGGCTGCACCTCACTCATCCTTCAGAGTACAGACACTCTACTTCCCACCTCCAGGACTGTAACATCCTCACTCATCCTTCAGAGTACAGACACCTACTTCCCACCTCCAGGACTGTAACATCCTCACTCATCCTTCAGAGTACAGACACTCTACTTCCCACCTCCAGGACTGTAACATCCTCACTCATCCTTCAGAGTACAGACACTCTACTTCCCACCTCCAGGACTCTAAGTGGCAGCCCTCAATCCCTTCAGAGAGAGAGAGAGACAGAGAGAGAGAGATAGAGAGAGACAGAGAGAGACAGAGAGGGAGAGAGAGACAGAGAGAGAGAGAGAGAGAGACAGAGACAGAGAGAGAGAGAGAGAGAGACAGAGAGAGAGACAGAGACAGAGAGAGAAGAGGCAGAGACAGAGAGAGAGGAGAGAGAGAGACAGAGACAGAGAGAGACAGGGGGAGACAGAAACAGAGGGAGACAGACAGAGACACAGAGAAAGAGACAGACACAGAGAAAGAGAAAAGACAGACAGAGACAGAGAGAGAGAGACAGACAGAGAGACAGACACAGAGAGAGAGAGAGAGAGACAGAGAGACAGAGAGAGACAGAGAGAGAAGAGAGACAGAGAGGGAGAGAGAGAGCCCAGAGACAAGAGACAGAGACAGAGAGAGAGAGAGACAGACAGAGAGAGAGACATAAGAGAGAGACAGAGAGAGAGAGAGAGAGGGAGAGAGACAGAGAGAAAGAGAGACAGAGAGAGAGACAGAGACAGAGAGAGAGACAAGACAGAGACAGAGACAGAGGGAGACAGACGGGAGACAGAGGGAGACAGACAGAGACAGAGGGAGACAGAGACAGAGGGAGACAGACAGAGACAGAGGGAGACAGACAGAGACACAGAGAAAGAGACAGTCACAGAGAAAGAGACAGACAGAGAGACAGACACAGAGAGAGAGAGAGAGGAGCTTATGACAATGTCATAAGCTCCTCTCTCCTCCTATAAAGCCACTCTGTGACTTTATAAATGGTCCAAGTCAGACCAAAACATCATGGTGAGCTTGTCTCCCTTATGTGCGGGTTATTTGTGTATTGTTCCAGCCATGGTATTGTGCCTTTTTGTTCTTCAATAAAGATGTGCATGAACTTGCGTTCTTTTACCCGTACTGTACTGGTATACCTTCTACTACCATACTTACTTGTCTCTGGCGTTCTAGTTCCTGTTCTCGTTCTTTAGCTTCTCTGGCGAGTCTTCGTTTTTCTGCTAGAGCTGCTTTGTATTCCTCTTCTGTAGCATAGCCAGTAACAGGCTTCTCTGCAGCTTTCTGGGCCAGAGTCTTTTCTTGGTCTGCCGTCGTGTCTTCGACTAGCTTTTCCAAGCTGTCTTCAGGCACTGAAGTGCTAGTGACTTCTTCTGGCAAATCTCTTTCAGGAGTTTTATCTTTTATGATTTGCTCTTCAGCAGGAACTTGCGGAGTATGTTTGACTGGTTCAGGTTGTGGCTCTAGTTTTTCAACTGTGGCTTCAACTGGTTTGACAGATTCATCAATTAGTTGCTTAGTTTCAGACACCGGTACTTCTGTAGGTTTATCCTGGGCCTTTAAGTCCTCTTCATGATGTTCAATTTGGACAGCTGCATCTTTGTCAGGTTGTTCTTGAACAAGTGTTACTGCTGCTTCTGGTTCCAAAACAGCAGTTACTTTATCTCCTGATTTTTCAGTAGCAGTTTCATCAATTTCAGCTTTAGTTTCAGTTACGTCCAATTTTGTTTCAGGAGCTTTGTCGTCCTTTTCCTTCTTGTCGTCCTTGACTCCAGGCGAAGGTTTGCTCTCCACCAGAGGGGAGTGTACAGGGGTGGTTTTTGGCGTTGGTTTACTCTTTGGCGTTGTTTTGCTCTTCTCTACGGCCTTCTTGGCAGCACTTTCGGCTTTAACTTGTGATGGAGTTTTCTTTGGCGTAGTTTTTGCTGGTGTGCGAGCAGGAGTGGCCGGCGCACTCCTGTCTGACCCGACGCTTTTGGCTCGTGTGGGTTTAGCCGAGGGTAAAGACGCTCCGACAGACACTGAAAAATGAAAGTGAAAACAGAAATAAAATTACAGAACTACAAGTGAATTACTCGGCAGAGACAAGCAGGGCGTTGTTTGTAAACTGAGCATCAAACGTTCGGATTCTCATACTTCAGAGAATTCAAAAGAGAATTCAGAAGCACCATTTTGGTACCTGGATATTCACAGTCTTTGATTTCTGCTGTGATGTTTATTTTGGAATTTAAGAACTTGGAAATTCATAAAGAACAAAAGGCACAATACCATGACTGGAACAACATTTGTGTATTGTTCCATCATGGTATTGTACCTTTTTGTTCTTTACAAGAGCTTCCTTCTCCTATGTGTGGGTTATTTGTGCAAATTACTATCAATGTGACTGTAAACGAGCCACAAGAATGAATGAGGTTCAAACCCTATATGTTCTGGGAGTTAGAATTCATTCCTTGAAATTTTTCCCTTGGATTTTCAGAATGGGCTGGGCAGATTGAATGATAAAGTTTAGGATATCTCTGATATCTTTCCAACTGAACGTTCGATGCTCAACTATAATGCTGTACAGGGTGACCCAAAAGTCTGGACACATAGGCAAAATTGCATTTTTGTAATAATTATAAAGTAATTTTAAAGAATATATCTTCAACATGTTGTCCACCATTAGCAATGCAAAGTTCAATGCGCTTTGCAAGATTCACATGAACACTATGCAGTAACTCCGGTAACTGCGGGAAAAACAATATTAGTAATATTTCCTGTGTGTCCTGACTTTTGGGTCACCCTGTAGTTCACTCACCCTAGAAAGATAGTATAGATAAGATATAGCAAGCAGAAGAGGCAATGCAAATCAAAGCCATTTACTTTCAGAAACACATACATTTCCTCTCCATGGGCCTACTTTCCCTCGACGGCGTAGAGGCATCCCTCGGCTTATCTGCCGAGGACAGCGAAGATCCAGCAATGCTGAGGGGGCGAGGCTTGCGAGGAGAAGTTCGCGACCTGAGGGACACCTGACTGCTATTGTTGGAACCCTGACTCAGGGCCGAGGTGGGACGAGAGGGAGAGTTCGGAGTCACTGTCCCACTACGCATGCCTGTGGGACAGAGCAAGCCAGCACGCGGTGTTAAGCTGGGCCCTCATACATCACACAAGCAAGCAAAAGCTAGAGATGTAGATTTGAATATCACGAGAGAAATCATCAGAAGATCAACTGTAAAACTTGTATAAATCATGAGATACACCTCAACAAAGTACTATGGACTCAAATTAAGTTGTAATAACCGACTGTCAATGAATAAACAGAAGGGGAGATGAGGGGCTCGAACAGCCTAAATTTACAGCCTAGTTGGTAGAGCGTCGAATTGTCAATTTATGGACCGCTGTTCAAGTCCTCATCCACCCTTCTATTTATTCAAAGTTCTATGAAATTACTACTGATAAATATATAAACTTGACAACAAGAATCAGATAAAGGTAGCAATACAGTAAACAATTACATGAGATATATTGCAAACAAACACAATGAAGGAAATAGACAGATAACACACACAACTAGTTGCTACAATACAGAAGAATGCATTCTACAAGTGGTAAACTGCAAGCTATGTTACCACTGGTTAATGTACAGTGTAATATGTTAAAAGTAAAGGTTATATATAGTGCTATTAATGCCCTTTAAAACATCGTAAGAAATCGTGAGTTAGCATTATTCTTCTAGTAATAATTTAGTTATCGTCCATAACACATGGTTAATAAAGGTTAATGCGTCTTATTAAGATTCCAAAGCAAGTTTATGTAAATAACGGCAGTGGTTAAGTGATCCAAAGCTACGTAACATACCTGTATAGTCGATATGTTTGGCCAAACATCACTCGTGACTTACCTTGGCTTGGCACATAAACGACAGCTTGGGGACTGACTTTCTAAGCTGGGCAAGACTCACCAGCAATCAAGCAAAACACCTAACACAATTAACCCACATCAAAGAGCAATATAACATTTCTTAAAGGCAAAATTCAACTTTCAATTCACTATCGACCCACAATTCAGAAATGTCGAAAATTTCCTCTTTTAAACTGTGGATTAATAGCAAATTGTTGCAGCCGTGGTACTGTTAACTTTTATTTTTCAGCTTAAAAGCAAAAAAAAGCTTAAAAGCAACCTTCATTTAAAATAAAATAAAAATGTTTTTTCCACGTATAATTTATGTCATGTGCATAGAGGCTAATGTGACTACAAATTTTACAATGCAAATTTAAATCCTGAAAATACAAAAATTAATACTGAAGGTAAATGTAAGCTTTACAATAAATATTTGAAAATCATATTTTTTTTTTTTTTGCTATTCTTAAACCACTGCAACTCTTTACTAACGGACATTTCAATAAAAAAGGCATTCATTTTTGAACTCCATAAATGAAAAGCGTTATGGTGGAACCTCAGCGTTTGAACTTAATCGGTTCCCAGGTGGTGTTGGAACTGGGAAAAGTTCGATGTGATAAACAGTATTTCCCAGGTTTTAATTATCAACTTCACACACTTTAGGATGTTGAACCGACTCTTCCGAAAGTCTCTGAGAATCATGTCAGTGTCAGAGGTCACTTCAAAACACTTTTCAAACAGGGTTTTCCTGTAATTTTTTTTACAACAGAATTGTAAACAAGACAGTGCGTTCACACTCCAGAAAAATATTCAAAGACCAGGCCAATTTTTCTGAATAAAACTGTTTGGACTCCAGTTTGGTCGAGGTCCTGTACGTTCGAACACCGAGGTTCTGCTATATGTCGTATGATTAAAAATACTAATTCCCATACATGAAACTGCTGTACTGTGGCCATGATCATATTTATTTACAGGAAACCTCAATGACTCGACCCAACTCAATGCCTAATACACAATTTTTAATTTTGAACTGTTAATGTGTTTATATTGTAAATATAGATTTTTTTAATAATGAATACCAAACAGGTGTGTGTATGTAGTGTATAACAACTATGTATGTACTCTAACTGCAGATTTTATATTTCTTTGGATCACTTTACTCTTCAATTTATAAACAGTAAAATTTTCATTGGACAATGATGCAGGGCTCAGGTGTGATAATTTCCCTCGGTTTTGCTAATCTCTGTAAAAATGCTGTGTGGTAGGAATGTGGTGCAGCTTGTGGTAGGAATGTGGTGCAGCTTGTGGTAGGAATGTGGTGCAGCTTGTGGTAGGAATGTGGTGCAGCCTGTGCACTATAGACGTGGTAAGCCAGTGACATACGCAAGCAGGAAGCAAGTATGCACAAATGGGTATGAACCTTACATGCACACCAGAAAACTGCACGAGAGAGAACGACTGATATGCATGCCATGCTAGTGGCTTCTGTGTCTAACAATATTTTATCACATGTGAACTATATATTACATAGATATTTCTACTCTGTAAAAATCTTTTACATGTTAAAAAATTTCCTTTGTACCTACTGCTACCTACTGGTCATTCCAGAGGTCATTACTCTTGATGCCTGGGTCTGAACAAGACCCAGTGGCAGACCTACATTTTTGGGTTCCCTGAAGCTTGAACTCTTATGGGGTCACCATGGCAACCAGCAACAGCTAGGCCTACATGATACTTTAATAACCTTTTCATTTTTATTTTAACTATTATTTTGTATTGAATTACACTATAATATTACCTTTTTTTTTTTTTAAAAAAAACCTTCTCATACAGTAGACCAAAAATTTTGTAAGCAATGTGGACTAAAGTGGCTTCTGGAGTCCCTCTGGGATTAGTGGCCCTCAAGCTTAAGCTTCATTAGTTTCATGGTAGAGCACCCCTGGCTATATCTAGTCGATGGCCTGAACAGCTGTTCATTTGGTGCCGGCAGCATGCAGCTTATAAGCACCACAATCAAATTGTTTAGGAACTGTCTGGACTGAACTCCTCGAGTTGCCTACTGCAGCCAGCCAGGAGTCCATTGGTGATTTTAATTATATTTGAATCGTGATGAAATGTTTTGGTCCCTTTACCGCCCTTTTCACCTCATTATTCCACCAGTCTTTCCCCTGCCCACCTGCACCCACCCTCCTAGAACCATGAACCTTTGTTGTGAACTCAGTATAGTTGTAAATTTACACCATACTTCCTCTATCTCAACCAGCACAACTTTGCTCTCAATCTAGTCTGCATTACTTGCAACAGTTGATCATTCCTTCCTTCTACAGGTCCACCTTTTATAATTTATTCATCTCTCTCTAACTGATTATCATCATTCTTCACATGCTCCATCTTGTGCTTGCTGCTGTGGCTGCCACAAAACATCTCAATATACTGCTGTAAACCACAAATAGTGTCTTATAAACAGACTTTTTTTTCAAACATGCTTGCCATCTATCACCGAGGGCCGGGTGACCCGAAAGAGACGAACATTCTCACTATCGTTCACTCCATCACTGTCTTGCCAAAGGCTCACATCTATGGAAAGTTCAGACGTCCCTCCAAACAGCAAATATCCCAAACTGTACAAACTTGGACCTCCAGGACTTGAGTCAGTATCTAATAATACTGACATGCAGAAATCCACCCATCAACTTCTAATCTGCTTTTTGAGTATAAAATCTACTCTCATTATAAACATCATACCTTATATACAGCGTACTGTGTTTATTCTTAAAGTGTATACATGTATATCATACAATACTGACAAGATGAAGAATTATACATGTGCAACATCTGCGTATCTTTATTTGTAGACGTTTTGTCATCCAGTGGCTTTATCAATACAAATTCCAGGACATAATGGGAAGACTATGAGCTATATACTAAAGATAAGGTAATCAGTCCCTCAGTCATGGAGTTGAAGAGTACTGCTTCAGAATCAACTCCAAGACTGAGGGACTGATTACCTCATCTTTTGTATACAGTTCTACAGTCTTCTCATGTCCATGATTTTGTATTGATAAAGCCACTGGATGGGAAAACATCCACAATAAAGATACCCAGATGTTGCACGTGTATAATTCTTCATCATTCTTGAACTGTATATTAGCTAGTGCCTGTCCAATTAATTACCCCCACAAGTTAATTTGTAATTATTAGTGTTGCTACAGTGAATAAATCAGTTGTCCTCCAAGTGACAATTATCGGGTCAGTAAAGGTCACAGCGCAATACAACAGACCACGGAACGGCTGGGGTTTAATCCCACTGTGAGTATTAGGATTCTCTCGTCGTGGATTCGAAACCCCACCCGTTCCCTGGTTTGTTTGCAATCATGACATCACAAGTGCTCGAGTAATAAGGCAATAAATGAAAAGCATCTAGTGTGCTTGAAGCAGTCCAGGACACTCAGACACTACCAACCAATATCCAGAGTACAACACGCACTACTTCACAATATACAAGTCAACTTAATAAACCCAGTGAAATTACTAAACGACTGAACTTAATGAACGAATCCTAGAAAAAATGTAATGTAGTGAGCAAGGTCTTAGGACCTTGTTCATGTCATGAAGTGAACAAGGTCCCAGGATCTTGTTGTTATGGCAGTGTGTAGATCAATATCTCTCACTACAGTGTTGTTATGGCAGTGTGTAGATCAATATCTCTCACTACAGTGTTGTTATGGCAGTGTGTAGATCAATATCTCTCACTACAGTGTTGTTATGGCAGTGTGTGGATCAATATCTCTCACTACAGTGTTGTTATGGCAGTGTGTGGATCAATATCTCTCACTACAGTGTTGTTATGGCAGTGTGTGGATCAATATCTCTCACTACAGTGTTGTTATGGCAGTGTGTAGATCAATATCTCTCACTACAGTGTTGTTATGGCAGTGTGTAGATCAATATCTCTCACTACAGTGTTGTTATGGCAGTGTGTAGATCAATATCTCTAACTCTAGAACACTGTTAAGGCAGTGAGAAGATTTGAAACTATCCCCCTTATCAATGCACTCTCTGACACACACGCACATACATTTCAACTCCAGAAGATGGTTGGTAGTAGCGAGTGACTGACTACAAGTGTTGATGGTAAACCTTACTGCACGAGGCCACATCTCCCTCACAAGCACAGAAGCCGTACATCTGGCAGAATCAGGATGGGACCCAGACTTTCATTATCAACTTTAGCAGAAATTACTGATAATAGAAGTGTAAGAACATGACTACATTGATAATAGAAGTGTAAGAACATGACTACATTGATAATAGAAGTGTAAGAACATGACTAGATTGATAATAGAAGTGTAAGAACATGACTAAATTGATAATAGAAGTGTAAGAACATGACTAGATTGATAATAGAAGTGTAAGAACATGACTACATTGATAATAGAAGTGTAAGAACATGACTAGATTGATAATAGAAGTGTAAGAACATGACTAAATTGATAATAGAAGTGTAAGAACATGACTACATTGATAATAGAAGTGTAAGAACATGACTAAATTGATAATAGAAGTGTAAGAACATGACTAGATTGATAATAGAAGTGTAAGAACATGACTAGATTGATAATAGAAGTGTAAGAACATGACTACATTGATAATAGAAGTGTAAGAACATGACTAGATTGATAATAGAAGTGTAAGAACATGACTAGATTGATAATAGAAGTGTAAGAACATGACTAGATTGATAATAGAAGTGTAAGAACATGACTAAATTGATAATAGAAGTGTAAGAACATGACTAGATTGATAATAGAAGTGTAACTAAGAAGAGTATTATTCTGTATCAATATTCAACACGTTACTGGCATCAGTTAGAAAGATAATAATAGTTGCATTAATTCTTCAATTAGAAATGATTAAGAGAGATTTTTGCATTTTATTTTGAATCTGCAAAACTTGCATAGAAAAATATATGTTACAAGAGATTTAGAAGAAATATGCAAAACATTTAACCAGTGACACTGTCAGTGGTGGACCTACATTTTTGTGGCCCCGAAGCTTGACCTGGTACGGGGTCGCCGCCGCAACCAGCAACGGCTCATCTACATGATACTTGAATAGCATTTTAATTTTTATTTTAACTGTTATTTAGTATTGACTGACACTATTAATATTATTATTTTTAAAAAAAAACTCTTCTCATACAGAGGACCAAAAATTTTTTAAGCAACGTGGAGTAAAGTGGCTTCCGGGGCCCCTCAGGAATTAGGGGCCCTCAAGCTTAAGCTTTGTCAGTTTCATAAGATCCGTCCCTTGTTACTGTACTAGCGTACTGTTTGTAAAATGGTCCAAACTGCCATTTAACACAACATAGTGAATAAATGTACCTTAGAAATTCTGTGTGTCGTGCGACCTCACGAAGTTGTTTACATTGTAAACAATGCAGAAAGACGTTTTAGAAGAAAGGAAGTGAAGAAAAGGGAGTGAAAGGAGAACATCAAGTTGAAAGCGAACTTTATAAACAATAAATGAAAAGAGAAAACGAGTGTGAAGTACATAATAAAATGAACAAAAACTTATTTTATTTGGAAGAAACAGAATTATGGGTTGATATATATCAAATTATTATTATTATTATGAATTATTATTATATCCTTATTATTATTGGGTGATTTAAAGCCCTTGGGGTCATACAGTACCTAAGGAATGGTTAGTGATCAGGTTTGATCCCTGAGGAGGGCAGCTCCAATTTCCTGAATCAAGAGCCCTTCACCAACATCAAGAAACATATATGCAACCCAAACTATGCAAATGATATTTACAAACTGGCGGAAGGTCGTCGAACTTTGAGAAATTTACAATTTCCATAAACTGGCATAGGGCACAATTTATCTTCCCCATTTAAATTGGATTATCCGCCACCTGTACGTTATATTAACATTGTAATCATGCAGGGAATAATTAACATTGTTAACCTGGATTACAGGGAAATATATTGGTTAACCTGGATTATAGGGAAATAGATTTCTGTAAAAAATATGCCACCGCCTAAACAGATTTATGTACATTTTAGGGTTGTGATTGGGTGAAAAAGGTTTAGTCTGAGTCCCATACCTGACATGCAACTTACCTTGATAAGTACTCTTGGTATTTCTGCTAGTGTTGTCAGTGCTGGAGGAGAGGGCATTTCCTCGCAGCTTTTTCTGCCTAAGTATCTCGGCCCGTGTCATGCGTGGCTGTACTAGAGTGACAGAGCTGCGGGAGACCCCTCGATCCAACCGGCCAGTTGCCGTGTCCAGTGTCTGGGGTCTAGCTGGTCGGGGACCCAGATGACACATGCTCTTGGACATGGTGCGAGCAGGCTGACTCATGCGCACCGAGGATGGGGTAGACTCATGCAGGGGTGCAAGAGGGGATTTGCGGTGGCGAGGACACGCCAGTTCATCCAACCGGCCAAGAGACAAGGCCCTACCTGGCGACCGGTGCCGTGGACTGCTACGGCTGGGGGTGGACGAGTCGCGTAGTGACGGCATTGCTGGTATCAAGTCTGTCCGCCGTCTTGCCGCCGACGTCGGGATAGCTGCCGTCATCGATCTTGTCATGAGGTCCTCACCTGGTTGCATTTATAAAAAATTTAAGTACAGTGCAGGTATTGCAAAAGCTTAAAAGTATAAATACAAGTGATCCTCGCTCTACGATGGTTCAACTTACAATATTTTGACTTTTTGATGGTGCGACAGCGATGTACATTCAGTAGTCATCATTTATTGATAGGATAAACCTGTATTCATTTATTCACTTTTCAATACAATAAGTCCTGGACTTACAAACACACTGAGAACCTTCCATGCAGTGTATAATATCATTATGTATAATAACATCATTATACAATATTCAGAAGGTCCCCAGTGTGCTCGTAAGTTGACGACTCACCATACTGGAATTTAGTTACGGTAATTATTTGTTTATTTACTTATTTGACTTACTATACTTTGCACTTACGATGGGTTCGTCAGAATGTAATCCCATCGTAAGTTGAGGACCACCTGTACTAACATGCTTCAAAGAGCACATTGAATGGTAAACTATTACCAGTTCAAGGATCAGGTTAATACACCCCTCGACTAAACGTGTCCTTCATTTAGTCAATTTTTTGCATGTGGGTTTGCTTGTCATTGCAGTGATAAGGTGATACCTGCTTGTCCTAGCAGTGACAAGGTGATACCTGCTTGTCTCAGCAGTGACTCAGGTATCACCTGCATGTCCTAGCAGTGACTCAGGTCACCTGCGTTTCCTAGCAGTGACTCAGATGCCGTCAGATTAAGATCAACAAAAACTGTGAAGCGGAAAAAAAAATTGGCCAATTGATTACACAAATTTTTTGAGCTTTCAGGAAGGTAATCTGTCATATTCACAGTGAGGGGAGAACTAAACTCGTAGGGGCCACACAACGCCTGGGGAATGGGAGGTAATCAGGTGGGATTCAAGGTCAGGGAGAGTAGCTTTAGCCAGATCAAGAGCCCCTCACTCACTGGTATCAAGGCACCACCCTCTTCTTGGAAGGGAAATCATTTAAAAAAAGAAAAAGGTCACCACTCTCAAAATGCTCCTCTCTATATAGTATATTTTTATTTTTGCAACTGAAAAAAGTATGTCCAAACTTGAATAACCTATGAAGACGCCCTCATGTGCAATTTTGCATACATGTTTTGATTGCAATTGCAAAATAAAAATCACACTACATAGAGGAGCCTGATAAAAGAGCCGACCACAGTCGAAATTTGCACCGAGACTTAAATAAAAATTTAGGGCTTCCTAGCAGGGGGTTGAAATGTTAAATTATGCAACTTCTAAATAATCAGAAATTTTTAAAACATTCAAATGGTTCTTTATTGAAAAAATGTCGAATAATTCTACAGCAAAAATGACACTGAATGTAGGAAGTCACATGCCTGATTAAAAATATCCTTATCTGAGGCTTTAAAAACTTTTCAACACCTCAAAAAACTTTTTCAAAAAAGTACATTGAACTCAATAATTTAGAAATTGATCATCTCTTGAACTGAGAGTAGTTTATTGAACTATAATACACAATAATACATGATACACTTAATGTATGCTAATATACATGAATAACTTCTTCACATGCACATACATACACATGCATACACATACACACACAAACACACAGATTTAATAAGCATAAGTTCATTATCGTAGATATTATAAGAACAGGAAGCAAAGTTTTAACCTATATACCCATATAAACTGCACGAAATAACAGGTATTTCTTCAACATAACTCTGATAGTACAGTAGAACCCCAGTATCTGCAGATTCGGTTTCCTTGGGTTCAGTTTCTGTGGGTTCGGTATCCGTGGGTTCGGTTTCCACGGGTTCGGTTATCTGTGGTTTACCATGGGCAAAAAAAAACTCTTAATTTTGCTTAATAATGGCCCCAAAGCACAAAAGTATTGATGGTGGCAGTTGTTCAAAGCCTCAGAGAAGCTGTGAAGTGCTTCTCGTCTGTGAAAAAGTGATAATTCTCCACTTATTGTGCGTAATTTATCGATTAAACTTTATCGTTGGTATGTAAGCAAAAAATGAAGTACGTATAGGGTTTGCTACCATCCATAGTGTATGGCATCCATGGTAGGTATCCCCTGCGGATACCAGGGCACTACTGTATCATTACCCTCATCAAAGCTTAGCACTAAACCCACAAGAGTCATACAGCACCACAAGACTGATAAAACAGCAGAACAAACTGAGCAATAACACAACAGAGGAATGACACACACAAGAACAATTCACACATAAGCAGCACTAATGAGAGGACCCTTGTGACGACATTTTGGTTCATCCCAGATCGGTTGTGATTTGACGGAGGTCCAGGACAGACCGGAAAGTCGTCGTAAGTGCTCATTGTGAACACAGCAGGCAGCAAACTCCTTAACACAGGGGAAGCAGACTCCTGAGCACAGGAGAAGCAGACTCCTGAACACAGCAGAAGCAGACTCCTGAACACAGCAGAAGCAGATTCCTAAACACAACAAGCAGCAGACTCCTAAACATAGCAGGCAGAAGACTCCTAAACACAGCAGGCAGCAGACTCCATACAGAGGTTCAGAATTCTATACTGTACAACAAGACTCAATCACATCAGTTGGTGGTAAGTTAAGCTGTAGGACGAGTTGCAGCTCAAACCTCAAAAGCTTAAACAGGTAATTACAGACATATAACAGGGACAGGCTGCTTCAAACAAGTACTTGGGGGATACAGCTGGAAATTAAAGCCACAGATGAGCAAAAGGGATGTCAGGAAGTATTTCTTCAGCCTCAGGGCAATCAGGATGTGGAATGACCTTGACAAAGAAGTAGAGGAGGCAGACTTTATATATAGTTTGAGGAACAGGTATGACAGGCCAATGAGGTCGGGAGGGAGTTAATTTGGCAAGTGGTAAGTTGAAAGGCAGGGCTAGAAGCTGCGAACTGACGCCTGTAATCACAAATAGGCGAGTACACATTTTTGTAATCAACAGCAATAATAGGGTGGTAATAAGAAGACAGGAAGGAAGAATAAAAACAAATACCTCGGAAGTATAAAATAAGTTCGAGAAAAGATGGTGCTTGAAAAAAGATGGTACTCAAGAAAAGATGGCATAGCACATACATAAATTACGGAGAAGCAGAGCCAAGCTGTGACTCGGCCCTCTGTAACCACAAATAGGTGAGCACACACACTGAAGCATCAATGGTGTCACAACCTGACAGAATTATAATCATGTGAAGTGCTAAACCCACAGGTGCTGAACCCCGGTGCTTACCTGGAAATGGCAAGTAATGAGGTGTGATGAATGGCAGGGCAGTCTAAATACCCAGCAACAAGAACCCTTCACTGGGATCAAAACAAGTGAAGGGACACAATGGAATACTACCATTAATACTAATATAACCTTTCACTAGCACCAATGTAACTCTTGTGAAGGAACTCAGTAAAAAAAATAAAATAATCTTTATTTCTACATGTACAAGTTGACATCAATGACATACTACTATATAGAAAGTCCCTTGTTATGCAGAGCATTTCCCGCAAATTAGGTCAATTTTGTCCTAGGATGCCACCAACACCAGTCACCTGAAACCCAGGTACCTACTTACTGCTAGGTGAACATAGACAGGTGTCTTAAGGAAATACGTCCTAATGTTTCCAGCCATACCGGGGACTGAACCAGGGACATCAGTGTGTGAGCTGAGTGCATTACCAACTCGGCCATGGAACACCAATGGAACATCAGCATGAACTCTATGGAAAGAAAGTACTGCACAAGCAAATCATCCGTTTTCAACAAATCCAACTTACAGGTGTTGGCAGAAGCCTGGACGGTAACACATACAATATCAGTATTTAAGAAGGGACAACAGAAGCTCTGAACTAGAGAACGATGGCGCAAAGACGAACATGTCAAATACCACAGTTTAAAAAAACAAAATATGTGCGAAATGAAGCGAGATACAACAGTTAGTAATAACTGCTAAATTACTACAACCACTATCAATTTTAAATGAATATACAGTACTGTGTTGTAGAATAAATGCTGACAATGGGACACCATGAAAATATGTCTAGGTACAGGAAGTCACGTTCATACAACTTGAAATATAGCACCAGTTATCCTTCCTTTACAGAACTAACTGGTGTACGAAAAATGGTGACAGCGGCGCAGCAGCGGTAAAAGCACCAAACACAATGAAAAAGTGGCTCAATGGAAGCCAACAAAAACACGGAACACTGAAAATAAGTGCTGTACACACAGGTCCTTCCTGTATCATAAATAAATCACAAACACACACACACATCAAATACACACATACTCAACCTACATTCTTTCATCATACCTGCAATAAAAATACATAAAAAACAGTCAAAATTCATGTAGGAGCAAATTTTGATAGACAAAAATATATGAATCAATTAAAGGTTAGTGAAGAATGCAGTTTATCGAACACCAGTGAAACTATTGTTAAGAAATATAAAATTTAATCACACTGTAAATTCAATTTGCACTCTAAATTATTTTTGCACATCTTAAAATGCTGTAAATTTTGCGTTAGAACAAATAGAAGACAATGAGCATTAGAAACACGAATTACAACCTTACCATTCAAAACTGAAAAAAAAAAAGGTTATAATGGTTTCTAATATATAAAATGGAATTCTGTACTCAACTTTACTTGCTTTAATATAAAGGTTTGCATAGTGAAAACTAAAGCACATAAAGCCAATGAGTGTGGCTTTAGTTGCACAAATTGCAATGCTCATTATGAAGATTGACCTACATTATGCAACAAATGCTAGAAAACAAAGGAAAAACAAAAGCGCTCTGAGGAACGAAGGAAGATAAGGTTCAATGTATAAAATGGTATTTTGGAAACACATGGGAAGTCCACATACACTTGGGAAAGTACACATTCATGCTTCAACAAACAATAGCCATGCTGAAACAACAAAAGGCTACTAAAATGCAAAAAATTATATAAAAGACATAATATCCTGGGTCCACTCCAGATTTTAAGCAAATATAATACTGAAATCTTCCATTCGAGTCAGAACTCTTATAAAGTTCCTTTATAAGCTTTCTTATAAAGCTTCTTTATAAGCTCTCTCATAAAGTTCCTTTACAATAGTGTGAGTTTTCAAAATGCAATTGAAAAATGAATTCAAAATTTAAAAGTGCATGGAAAGGTCTTATAAGTACAAGCTAGTCAATTTTGAATCCATTTTTGAAATCGCATTTGCAAAAAAAAAAAAAAACCACATTATGTACAGGAGCTTTATGAGAACTGAATCGTAATGAACCAGTGAACACAATATGCAGGAACTACTGGGAAAAATTTGGACCGTATAACAGAGTCTGCAATACAGCGACCATTTAAAGAGTTTGCAACCCAGTTAAAAAGATTCTTCTAAGAGGAGGTTACTGTAAGTAGTTAATGCGATCTATATTATTCATGCCAAGGAAGACTAAGGTGTATTCATTTTTTTTTTGAGATGTCTTACTAGCTTAGTTGAAATATATGCAATATTAATACTATAATTAACTCAAGCTTATTGATCTCAGCCAATACCACAAAACACTACTAATTTTAAGTTAAAGGGTTGTAAATGTAAAAAAAAAAGCAATGAAGAGGGTTTTCAGTCATTGAAAGTAAAACACAGACTAGAAGAACATTCCTTCATGAAGCATCCTTGGGTTAGCCAGTTTGCAAACTCACCACCGATAGTGCACCCAGCCCCAGTAAATACAGAAGCAGTTCTACGAGAATAGCACGTGGAAGATGTGGGTGTTGAAGCCGGTGAGGCGGAGACTGGGTTGCCGCTACCGCCGCTACTTTGGTTTGCGGGACCCAGTGCGGCGAAGTTATCCCCAAACTCCCACACACAGAACCGTGATTGGGATGCATTTGTTGGGGTTTTATCTGAGGATGAGGATGAGGTGGAGGATGGAGGAGGAGGATCAGGAGTGTCCTTGGAAGAAAGGGCAAAAGAAGATGACTTAGTAGGCTGAGGAGTTGAGGATCGGACCCAAGAGAGGGCAGAAGGTGGGGTCTTGCGCTCCAGTGACGAGTCACGAGACTTGGTCAGCCGGGTACCTTGGGTAGTAGGGGCATGGTTTTGGTGGGAGGAGCCGCTCTCATCCCAGTGAAACACCTCATACATCGAGCTTGACATACGCAGGTCTGTAACAACAATGTGACACTGCTGAACAGACATGCAGAGTGCAGCTTAGCATAGGCAATTGAAACCTGATTTTGTGGAGAGAGAGATAAAGCAATCTGCTTTTGTGACTGGAAGATACAATATTGTGCAAAAAATCAATATGTAAAATGAGAAAGTGCTTATACTGCCATTCCAAACCCAAATGTGCTTTGTGAATGTTTATTGTACAAAGAGACTTAGTGCAGTTCTAATCTTGAAAAGGAAAATGATTATCTTTTAAATACGTATATAGCTATATTTTGTAATGAGAAAAGAGGGCAAGAGAACTGGATATTTGAAATTTCTGACTGAGGTAGATAACTGAGATAGGAACCAGAGATAAGGATGCTAGAGAGCTCCTGGTCCAGAGCAAATCATTATAAATTATATTTTCTTCTGGATATCACTTTATATAAAGCTTGATAAACTCTACCCAGAGCAAAACATCCTCTATAATAAAGCTTTGCTCTTGATAGAGCTCTACCCAGGGCAAAACACTGTCAAAAATAAAGATCTGCTCTAGACAGAGCTTCACAGAACTTGACAAAGATCTACCCAGAGCAAAACACTGTCAAAAATAAAAATTTGTTCTGTATCAGCTCTTTCTAGCATACTTGCTGGCTCTACCTGTCATCCAACAGAAGCAAGGAACCTGCATGTGGGTAGCATCAACTTTAAGAGTGTAGATAAATGGGGTCAGTGCACTGACGAGTTGATAAATTAGACACATGTGCAACACTTGGGTAAATTGTGGAAATATTTTGCCACACAGTAGCTTCATCAGTCCAGTACAGAGAAGACTGGTGAAGATCAGAAGGAGTTTGAGGTAATCAGTCATTCAGGCTGGAGTCCATGTAATCAGTCCATCAATCTTGATTACTGGATTGATTATATTGACTCCGAGGGACTGATTACCTCAATCAATCAATCAAGGACTCACAGGTAAGGACCCACGAGGGGCGAGGGGCAAGTGGGGACAGTGCGAAGAATAGACGGTGAGAGGAATGTCTTGAGTCGAAGAGAGAAGAGTCAGGACTAGACCCAACTGCTAAGCCTGGATAAACAATAACGAAGACGACATAGAAGACAGCAGGAACTCTGATTACCTCAAACTGCTTCCGATCTTCACCATTCTTCTCTGTACTGGACTAAGGAAACCACTGTGTTGCAAAACATCTCCACAATAGAGATACCCAAATGCTGCACATGTGACTAATTTACCAACTTCAAGATTACCATGACAATAAAACAAGACTTCTACCAACCAGCTGACTGCAGCAATATATACTGTTTATTGTTGTCATTTTTTATAGCAAGGATCTCAGATTTACGATGTTACCCAAAGGTCCAGATTATGAGAGGTGGGAAGTTATCAGAGTTACCAGAGATTGTGTGAACCTTAATCCCGAGGATCAAGCTTAAGAGGTTTTGGTAATAAAATTCACAATACCAAGGCTGGAACAATTCACAACTGGCTTACAAATTGGAGACGAACTCTAACAACGATTCAGTTTACCCTGGACTTGTATTAAGTCACGAGACAAGGAAAGAAAGGGAGCAATGGGGGCTAGTAACCCCCTCTGTATAAATTACTAAGTGTAAAAAGTTTTTCTTTTTTGGGTCACCTTGCCTAGGTGGGAGAAGGTGTGGGTGTTGAAAGTCACAAGAAAAGGGAGAAAGTCCAGGAAGGTCCAAAACGATGTCACCTTCATATCCAATTTCTTCGTAAGTTGTGAATTAAGAGGCTAAGTGAAGCATGTTTTAATGTTTAAGGATTAATGAATAAAAAGTCACAAAACCGTGACTAGAACAATATGCAAATAATCCGCACATTGGAAAGAGGAGCTCATAATGATGTTTGGGTCCAACATGGACCATTAATTAGTCACTACAGGTAGTCACTGACTTACTATGGGGTTACGTTTTGACAAACCCATTTTAAGTCAAAGAAGAATACTATATGCTAAATAAATAAATAATTACTGTAACTAATGAAATACTAGTATTGAAAAGTAAATATATGAATATAATTTATGGACTTGTCACCTTCATGTTGGGTAATTATCTTAAGTTTTATCTCAAAAGTAACGGCTTTTGTACCATCGTAAAGTTGAAATACCCTAAGCTGAACCATCTTAAGTTGAGGACTACCGGTAGTGACTAGTCAATCATTCAAGTTGTACCGAAATGTCATTCATGAGTTTCTATGTACGAGTTATATGTGTGTGTATTTAAGGATGATAATTATCCTTGCCACTATGGCCCCTGCACTAGCACATCCATTATCTCTCACTAAAAGATATTTTTCCACTCCCTGCTGGAATACACTCATTACAATAGACAGAAAATCAGGGGGAAAAATCAAGCATTTTCATTTACCTAAAATAAAAAAAATTTAACATCTAAATACTAATTAATTCACTGTTCATGAAACTAAAATACTGACAAAAAATTTGTTGTTTTATTTACTAATTCTACTAAAGGCAGTTTAGAATTATTAATGTGGTTTATGCATAAGCCTAAACAAAACAAAATTTAAGCAAAGAAAGAAAATTTTATTAACAGCCTTAACTTAAACTAAAAATTAAAATTAACTTACAAACACTGCCAGAGATACAAGATGAACGATCTATTTTTATATTAATTCATTGCCTTTGGAAATTGACTGTTTAGCTTCATAATGCACGAAGGTACAATACTGTGACTGCAACAACACACAAATAACCCAGATATGGGAGAGAGAAACTTACGATGTTTTGGTCCGACTTGGACTATTTACAAGTCAAACTAACACACGAAGGTGATGGAGCTAGTATATATACAGTGGACCGCCGGTTAACGATATTTTTTCATTCCAGAAGTATGTTCAGGTGCCAGTACTGACCGAATTTGTTCCCATAAGGAATATTGTGAAGTAGATTAGTCCATTTCAGACCCCCAAACATACACGTACAAACGCACTTACTTAAATACACTTACATAATTGGTCGCATTCGGAGGTAATCGTTATGCGGGGGTCCACTGTACTGGCTCCCGCACTTGCATGTGTTAGTGTGACTTGTAAATGGCCCAAGTCGGACCAAAACATCACAGTAAGTTTCTCTCTCTCCTGTGTCTAGGTTATTCGTGTGTTGCTTCATGATGACATGAAAAATTAATTTGACGAAAGGTGAATAAAAATGCTTTGAAGTCCTAATAACAATGAATAACCAATTCTATCTGATCTAAGTTTATCCTGAAATGTCCGTCAGGGGTAAAAAATCTAACTCGGCAGAAATAAAGTTATCTTTGTCTAAAAACCACTAATACCTGGGAATAGCATAAAATATATAGAATTCTGGGTATAATGTGCATAAATAATACAGTAAATTCTCTCAAAAAGTACATCCAAAACTGAAGAGTGCACGGGAAGGCCTTCATAGCACAGGCTATTCAATTTTGGAGATACTTTTTCCATTGCATTTACAAAAAAAAAAGATACATCATGGAGCTCTATGAGAGAGCAAAAATTATACAGCCAAGTCTCAATTAGCGCAGGTTCAAACAATGCAAATTTCAATTTAGTGCAAAATTAATTAATGCTAGTTTCCCCCCAAACTCTTCAAATCGTGTGCGAAAATTACACATAATGCAAACAGTGTGAATTCGAGCAATGCGACCACCTCATGGGATTCACTATTGCCACTAACTGAAGCCCGGCTGTAATTAAGAGAACATTTGCTTCTTGGTGTGTCCCGGGTACCAAGACTCACATAATGTTGACCTCCACAAGAATAAAACAAATAATGAAAGATATCAATACAGAAATAAAAGTCAGAATAATGTGGTTGGAACACTTCATAATGTAACTACATACGACTGAACAATCTCTAAATAAAGTTTTGATACATCTAGGACTTTATTTTATTTAAAAAAACTAGCTGTCTCCCACCAAGGCAGAATGATCCCCCCTCCCCCCCCCAAAAAAAAAAGTGCTTTCACCCTAACTTACTCCATCACTGTCTTGCCAGACGGGTACCGATACTACAGTTAAAATTTCACCCTAACTTACTCCATCACTGTCTTGCCAGACGGGTACCGATACTACAGTTAAAATTTCACCCTAACTTACTCCATCACTGTCTTGCCAGACGGGTACCGATGCTACAGTTAAAATTTCACCCTAACTCACTCCATCACTGTCTTGCCAGACGGGTACCGATACTACAGTTAAAATTTCACCCTAACTTACTCCATCACTGTCTTGCCAGACAGATACCGATGCTACAGTTAAAATTTCACCCTAACTTACTCCATCACTGTCTTGCCAGACGGGTACCGATGCTACAGTTAAAATTTCACCCTAACTTACTCCATCACTGTCTTGCCAGACGGGTACCGATACTACAGTTAAAATTTCACCCTAACTCACTCCATCACTGTCTTGCCAGACGGGTACCGATACTACAGTTAAAATTTCACCCTAACTCACTCCATCACTGTCTTGCCAGACAGGTGCCGATACTACAGTTAAAATTTCACCCTAACTCACTCCATCACTGTCTTGCCAGACAGGTGCCGATACTACAGTTAAAATTTCAAACATCCTCACCACCACTTCAGAGTGCAGGCACTGTACTCCCCACCTCCAGGACTCAAGTCCGGCTAACTGGTTTCCCTGAATCCCTTCATGTTACCTCGCTCACACTCCAACAGCAATATGCAAGTATCATACTGATTATGACTTGCCCTTTCATCTTTTTGTCTTCCTGAATATTTCCATCTCAGAATTTCACACCGAGTTTCTTGGATAAACCACAACTTAAGATAACCTCCTTCCCTAACTGAGATAACCTCCTTCCCTAACTGAGATAACCTCCTTCCCTAACTGAGATAACCTCCTTCCCTAACTGAGATAACCTCCTTCCCTAACTGAGATAACCTCCTTCCCTAACTGAGCCAAACCTACAGCATTCCACTGTGCTAGGTTCCAATAGGGTCTCTGAGATTTGTGAATTAAAGCTGCCAGGAGGATAAACAAATGAAATACACTTGTGTGCTGCCACACTATACCTTCATATCTTGATTTAATCTGACATTTCAGTGTACAGATGCTCCTCGCTGTATGATGGTTCCACTTACGATATTTTGACTTTACGATGGTGCTATTGTACCATCATAAAATAAAAATATCATCATTGTATAATACTGTACATTTATTGATAGGATAATTTGTATTTACTTATTTACTTTTCAATAATGGTATTTAGTTACAGTAATTACTTGTTTATTATTCAGTGAGTAGTTATTTATTTATCATACATTCATATTCAACTTCAGATATTTTCAACTTACGATGGATTCATCGGAACGCAAGAACATCATAAGTCGAGGACCAACTGTACTGTATTTGTTAATTATCCTTCCTTCATAAACGAAGCTAAAACTGCCAAGTGCTTCCCTGATATCTTAAATTAAACTAACATTTCAGTGTACTGCAATATATAAAACACTGTGTGAAAAACACATAGGTAAGTGAAATCTGATTGAGAATGCAGACAATTTTGAAAGGATCAGAGTGAAAAAGTCCTCACCTTCTGGCTTCCTGTCAAGACTCTGGGCTGAAGTTGCTCGCTTGCGGCTCAGCTCTATGTCGCCGCACTCCGATGCACGCCGGGTGATGGACGTGTCCACAAGATGCACATTGGTCGTCGAGGTTGCTCTGCACAACAACGATTCGTGTTAAGCACCAGGAGGGAATGAAAAACCGAGGTAATTTGTGTAAACTGACAGTGTACAAGAAACGTATGGTGCATTATTATTTTTGTTGCCATTATTGCAATGTAGAACTGACCCAAAAATTTATCAGACAATGTTCTGCCCTATGTAGAGCTTTATCAAGTCATGTTTCACTGTGTGTAGAGCTTTATCAAGTCATGTTTCACTGTGTGTAGAGCTTTATCAAGTCATGTTTCACTGTGTGTAGAGCTTTATCAAGTCATGTTTCACTGTGTGTAGAGCTTTATCAAGTCATGTTTCACTGTGTGTAGAGCTTTATCAAGTCATGACATGACATAGCTCTACAGAGTGTGAAGCATGTACACATGCACACACATACACTCATACACTAAAAGTATGATTCAAACCCACATTTTCTTCTACCCAGTGGGTGAACAGTAATAAACGCACGTGCACACACACACACACACTACATACGTATATATAAAATTATTAATTCAGGCTCTTAAATATTTATTGTGTAAAAACACTCGTCAAAATTCAAAACAAATGAAAAACAGAAAATGAGGAACCTGCGAGAACTCCAGTATGAGGCATTGGTGCTGTTGTCTTTGGGGTCCAGCATCCGAGGGGTGGAACTGCCAAAGGCGAACACAATGTTGCTTCTCTCATTACGTCGCTTGGACTCCAGGCGGTGCTCGCGCTCCTGTCAGTGGAAAAATTTGGACTTGTACATGTGGAACAACAGATTATCGTCAAATTTTTCCCCTTAAATGGAGTTTAGAGGGCAAATTTGATTTAAAATGTATTCATTTTTTATTACATTCATGAGGGAAGTGCTAAACTTGTATGGGTCATACAGCACCTGAAAAAGAAGTGAGGGAATGGAAGGCATTCAGGCTTGAGGTTAGCATAGACCACCACTGTGACCACAAATACAGGTTTGTACAGATGAATCCCACACCAGAATGGCTATGTTGTGCTCTAGCTCGTGATGGTAGCTTTGGGGGGACTTTACCTAGAGTGCAATACAGCCACACTAGAGTGGGATTCACCTGTAAAAACCTACATTAGGGGTCACAGTGGTGGCCCATGCTAACCTCACCATGGTGTACAGAAATATATCATGTTGGATGAATCTCATTAGAGTCACCTAGTACAATGGTTAATGCACTGGCCTTTGGGTTTTAACACTCACTTGCCATGAGTTCAAATCCCACCCATTCCATGGTTTGTTTACAATTATGTTGTTACAATTTCCTGAGTCACAGAGCCCCAACTATGAGAGAGTTGCATTTCCGTTGTTTCACTTGCAGCTCTGAATTTTTTAAATTTTTAACATGCTGGTCGTCTCGCACTAAGACAGGGTAACCAAAAAAAGAAGAAATGCTTTCACCATCACTCACTCCACTGTTCTGTCAGAGGCGAGCTCAGATACCTCACCAAACAGCAATATCCCTTCCTTCAGAGTCCACTCACTCTGCAAGACTCAAATTATTATCCAGAAAATGAGTAAAAAATGATAAGTCACATGGACTAAATTATCATCAATGATAGTCAAAAAAGATGGCCGTGTGTCACACGGTCATAACTACAGATTAACCTTCATAAAACTAATGTTGTCTCAATATTATGTCTTGTGGACCTTGTTTGTAAGCTCCATCACCAGAATGTGAAACATTGGGACCCTACGCTGTTACATACACCCACACACTTGTACAGTAATATCATTATATTATTACTGCATATAATATTGTTATTATATTATTATTGTGTATATTATTATTATACACAATACAGAAGATTGTCAATGTGTTTGTAAGTCGAGGATTTACTTGTAGAGTAGTCCCGCCTCATCCACGGGTGATACGTTCCGAGACCTACCGTGAATAGTAGCAAAACCTACGAGTCGTTTTTTTTTTACATACTTATGATAAAGTCTAATTGATAAATTATGCACAGTAAGTGGAGAATTATCACTTTTTCACTTATGGGAAACACTTCACAGCTTCTCTCAGATTCTGAAGAACTGCCACCATCGCTACTTTTGTCTTGAGGTCATTATTAAGCAAAATTAAGGTTATTTTCAGGCCATGGTAAACCATGGACATTGAACCCGTGGATATGGGAGGGTTATACTGTATTATAAAAGCAACACCAGAAGAGTAGACAGACAACATGGGCCTCCCACATCAATATGTTCCACCCACAGCAACAAGTTCCTCCCAACTACAGATGGTCCTGGACTTACGATGGGGTAATGTTCCGATGAACCCGTCATAGGTCGAAAATATTGTAAGTCGAATATAAGTACATACTAAACAAGTAAACAATTAAATAACTACTGTCACTGAAAATTTATATAAACAAATATTTACTGTAACTAAATACCAATAATAACAAAAAAAAAAGGCACAATACCGGGTTATTTGTGTATAAATACCAATATTGAAAATAAAATAAATGAATACAAGTTAAAAACTTGTCGCCTTCATGTTGGGTGATTATCTCAAGTAAAGCTGAAATATCATAAATAGAACCATCGTAAGTCAAGGAGCCCCTGTATACAGGCAACATATGCCCCCACACCAATATGTTCCACCCACAGCAATATGTCACCCCCACAGCAACAAGTGCAACCACAGCCACAGCACTGCAACCTTTAACTCTCACTGGACGACTCTCGGAAAAGCACTTTATGCTACACCCCGTATGGTCAGAAACACGATTCCACAAATGCTATAAATACGTGATTAACTGGCGAATTTTGTGCAGTGCTCCAAGATGGTGTGTGTTGTGATGGCCAAGAGTGTGTGTTGAGGTGCGGTGACACAGGGCGACCAAGCTGCCCCGCAATGCCCTAAGAGGATATGGTACACTATAAGACAGAAAATGTTTGTAAACAGTTGTATTGAACAATTGTAATATTTTTTATAATACAGTATGAGAGAAATTTTTTGAAAACAGGCATACCGAACAATTAAATTTTTTGTACACTACAATACGCTATAAGACAAACTGTTAACAGTAATACCATAAAATTTAATTTTTTCAGATTACAATACAGCCTCTCCTCACTTAGTGACGTACTCGTTTACCGACACCTCAGACTTAATACAGGCTCTCTGACCAGCATGCATACCTAAATAATGTATATTAGAGCTGATTTCCTCTATTCTGTTTATTACAATATACAGTACACTACTGTATAAACATTTAAAAATATACCAGAAATGTTATAAATGGTACAAAGATGACATTAAAACAATATCAAAGATGGTTGACACAAACCCACTACCATTATAGTATGTTCCTCACTTAGCCACAAATTTGTTTACTGACGTGGTCTTAGGAACAGAACTCCATCGTTAACCCTTTCAGGGTCCAAGGCCCAAATCTGGAGTCACGCACCAGTGTCCAAGAATTTTCAAAAAAAAAATTTGTTATTTTTTCTTATGAAATCGTAGAGAATCCTTTTGTGAAGGTAATAAAACAAAAAGTACGAAATTTGGTGGAAAATTGACGAAATTATGCTCTCGCGAATTTTGATGTGTCAGCGATATTTACGAATCGGCGATTTTGCCGACTTTGACTCCCATTTTAGGCCAATTACATTATTCCAATCAACCAAATTCTTAGCTATTTCACTAGTATTACTTCTATTCTATCGATTGAGCACAAGAAATCGCCAAGTCAACTGTTTCAACTACAAAATAAAGTGATCGGAAATTGTTAATTTGGCCAATTTAACACAAAGTTCAAAATATTCCAATTTCAAAATAGGGTCCAGAATAAACAATGTAGGCATTCCTGGCACTAAACTAACATTTCCTCTGTTCATTAGTTATGTTTTGAGGCTTTACAAATAAATTCCATTTTGATTTTTTATTCACATAATGAATTTTTATTCACACCAAAAAATAGAAGATTTACTGTTATGCAATACTGTAATAATTGTATAAATATCATCACCATATTTGTGAATGTATATTAGACCCACCAGCTGACGTGTATTAGACGTGTGAGGTCGTTTGTTTACTCTTGAATATCGGCAAAAATTTAACATTTCTGCTACTTTGAGCTCAGTTTCAAGCCATTTCCAGTGCTAAAACCAATCAAAATCATCTCTATTTCTGTAATATGTCTTCCATTCTGTCAAATGAGACCAAGAAATCGCAAATACAACTATAAAAAACATACGAAAAAACACTGCAAAGTTGCTGTTTTAATCGAAAAATCATGATTTCATTTTTTTTCTCTCATTATACACAGTGTGCTGCAGGATCTGTTTTATGTGGTGCACACATACCACATAGATGTATTCTCTCATATCTAGGCCCAAATGTACCACTCACAGTTTATCAGAGTGAGCTGAGCTCATGGCGTAGATCTACGGTTTGGACCCTGAACGTAAAGCCGTAGATCTACGGGACGGACCCTGAAAGGGTTAAGTGAGGAGAGGCTGTACGCTATAAGAGAGAAATTGCTTGTAAACAGTCGTACCGTAAAATTATATTTTTTTTTGTATTTCAATACTTTCCCATGTAATAGAAGCTCCTCTATAGAGTGCAATTTTTTTCATAAATGCAAAAAAAAAAAAAAAATATCCAAAATTAAATAGCACATAGAAAGGCCTTCCTAGTACTTGTTATTCAATTTTCGATGACATTTTTGAACTGCATTCACAAAAAATATCACTATATGAAAGAGCTTTAGAAGAAAGCTTACTGTGTCTTTATTACACTGGGAAACATTAAGCTTCAGCTTATAAGATTAGTCTACAAAACACAGCATTACAGTATAGAGTAAAACCTCCTATAACAACCTACACTGACCACAGTACAAGTTGGTTAAGTAAAAATTGATATAACACCCATCGGCAAAAAACAAATATTTCCGCTACTCTGTGGACAATTTCAAGTACTCTCGGTCCTGAAACCAACTATATATTAACTTCTGTTTCAGTAATGTGTCTTCCATTTTATCAACTGATACCAAGAAACACCAACAAAACCATAAAAATCATCTGAGAAAACACCTCAAAGATGCCTTTTTAAACCAAACACAAGGTCAGTTTTGCTTTTCCCATTATGCACCACACAACACAGGATTTTTTATACTGCGCACTCACTGCACAGACCCATTCATCTAGGCCAAAATCTACCACTCACACCTTACTGGAGTGAGCTGAGCTTGTGACGCAGAACAACGCGACGGCCCCTGGCATCAATAATGTACATCTAGGTGAGACAGTGAAAGATATGGAGTTGAGGTACACAGTACTGGAGTTCTTCTGAATCACTGCATAGATGATTACAGGCCATCCTTGATGTGTGATGGGGTTATGTTTCAACGCACCCATTGTAAATCAAAAATATCATGAGTCGAAAATACTGTAAGTCGAATGTGAATATGATACCCTAAATTAATAGGTCAATAAATAACTACTGTCACTAAATAAGTCAATAAACAAATAATTACTGTAAATAAATAGTACCACAGATATATCAGATCACTTTCTAGTTGTAGCTACACTGAGAGTAAAAGGTAGATGGGATACAAGGAGAATAGAAGCATCAGGGAAGAGAGAGGTGAAGGTTTATAAACTAAAAGAGGAGGCAGTTAGGGTAAGATATAAACAGCTATTGGAGGATAGATGGGCTAATGAGAGCATAGGCAATGGGGTCGAAGAGGAATGGGGTAGGTTTAAAAATGTAGTGTTAGAGTGTTCAGCAGAAGTTTGTGGTTACAGGAAAGTGGGTGCAGGAGGGAAGAGGAGTGATTGGTGGAATGATGATGTAAAGAGAGTAGTAAGGGAGAAAAAGTTAGCATATGAGAAGTTTTTACAAAGTAGAAGTGATGCAAGGAGGGAAGAGTATATGGAGAAAAAGAGAGAGGTTAAGAGAGTGGTGAAGCAATGTAAAAAGAGAGCAAATGAGAGAGTGGGTGAGATGTTATCAACAAATTTTGTTGAAAATAAGAAAAAGTTTTGGAGTGAGATTAACAAGTTAAGAAAGCCTAGAGAACAAATGGATTTGTCAGTTAAAAATAGGAGAGGAGAGTTATTAAATGGAGAGTTAGAGGTACTGGGAAGATGGAGGGAATATTTTGAGGAATTGTTAAATGTTGATGAAGATAGGGAAGCTGTGATTTCGTGTATAGGACAGGGAGGAATAACATCTTGTAGGAGTGAGGAAGAGCCATTTGTGAGTGTGGGGGAAGTTCGTGAGGCAGTAGGTAAAATGAAAGGGGGTAAGGCAGCCGGGATTGATGGGATAAAGACAGAAATGTTAAAAGCAGGTGGGGATATAGTTTTGGAATGGTTGGTGCAATTATTTAATAAATGTATGGAAGAGGGTAAGGTACCTAGGGATTGGCAGAGAACATGCATAGTTCCTTTGTATAAAGGCAAAGGGGACAAAAGAGAGTGCAAAAATTATAGGGGGAGAAGTCTGTTGAGTATACCTGGTAAAGTGTATGGTAGAGTTATTATTGAAAGAATTAAGAGTAAGACGGAGAATAGGATAGCAGATGAACAAGGAGGCTTTAGGAAAGGTAGGGGGTGTGTGGACCAGGTGTTTACAGTGAAACATGTAAGTGAACAGTATTTAGATAAGGCTAAAGAGGTCTTTGTGGCATTTATGGATTTGGAAAAGGCGTATGACAGGGTGGATAGGGAGGCAATGTGCAGATGTGCAGGTGAAATGGTGTAGGAGGTAGGTTACTGAAAGCAGTGAAGAGTTTTACGAGGATAGTGAGGCTCAAGTTAGAGTATGTAGGAAAGAGGGAAATTATTTCCCAGTAAAAGTAGGCCTT